TCTGTCAATAGGTTGTGAGACTTCAGCAACTGCCTTTCTGTTTGAAGTCCTTTTGTAAAGTGATAGCATTGGGGAGAGATGAAAGGTGCCTGCACATGAGTAAACCATGCAAACCAATGATTGTATTTGAGGATAGCTCCTAAATTCAGTCCTTCTTGACTTGGAGGAGGTGGTTCCTGAGGAGGGCAGGAGTTTTGGCAGGTTACCGGTCTGGCGAGGGCAAGAACATAATCTGTGCACCAGGGATCCTTCAGCCTGCCTGGCTCAAGTAATGAAGTTGGAGAGTCTCATGCTCTCAAAGATGTGCTCCTGCATCACACACTTCTGCTCCTCCCAGCTGGGAGGTTAGAGCAGAGCCCCCCGACCTTGCCTTGTCTGTGCTGGGACCGGGGTGGAGCAGCAGAACAGGCAGTTCTCGTTCTCATTCAGAGCAAAAAGGACTTCAGCTTGAATTCAGGGACTTCAGGCTGTTGTTCCCTCATGCCTTCAAAGGACAAGCAAAGGGGAGAGGATACCAAGACACTGATGCAGGACCTGAGCAGCTGGCGTTGGCTCAGAGAGGAGCAGAGAAACGTGCAGAGCTCATGGTGATGCTCTCCATCACCATGGGGCAGCAGTCAGTGAGCCTGCCATGGGGAGCCCGGAAGGGGAAAGATGAGGCCCAGAATTAGATGCCAGCATGGTTCAAAGGAAACCCCAAAGCAGGAGCAGGCAAGTAGAGGTGCCTGGATCTCTGCAGACCAGAGGGAGGGGTATTAGCATTGACATCTGCTAAGCTGTACTGTGGCCAAGGCAGCCAGCAGGAAAATTGGGAAATTTGGTTTCCCCTTTCCTACCAGCACTGCACGACTTTGGAAGCCTGGGCAGTCCTCCTGGCACTGTTGTGTTTCTAGCAGAGCCTCACTGGATGCCAGCAGTGTCTCAGCACATGAGAGGGACTAACAGCACCAGCCTGAGAGCCCTGAGCTTAGAGCCTACAGCTTTTGCAGACAGCAGCAGGGAGGAGGGTGTCCCTGGTTTTCCAAAGGGATAACTTCACCCTCAGAGGGAACCTGAGATGTGTGGAAACAGCCTCTCCCATGCTGAAAGGAGCCAGGCAATCGATTGAAGCTCTTTGCTCTCAAGGCAAGGAATGTGCATGTTAGTGCATGCTGAATTATTAACATTTCTCAACCTTTGTGGCTCTGGTGTTGCTTGCTCCCCTCCCTCCCCCCAGCAGTCCCCCCCTGTGAGTGGAAAACCAGACTCCACATTGTCTTTTCTCCTGGTCCTGTGAGATCCAGAGCATAGGCTCAGGTTGCACTGCACTCACTGCTCCAAGTTTCACTTCACTTCCTAAGGAATGCTCTCAATGGGGAGATATGCAGAATTGTGGACTAGCACAGAGCCCTTATGATGCCTGTTCTCAGGATGAATTATAATGAATCTCATTTTTGACAGTCTGCAGGTTTAACTAAACCCCTGAATTACAGTATTGTCCACTGAAATAATTTTAATATTCACAGCAGTTTTCCCTGTGCTGTTCTTGCAAAACCTCCAAACCACCTTTTTCTGATCCTTATCCAAAAAGAGGATTAAAAAATTATTGCAAATTCTAGTCAAGAAAATTGTAATTAAAAGGGAAATTTCATTGCTGCAAAAAATGAACAAAACAAAATTTTCTGGAGCACTTAAGGTAGCATCATGGACTGTGCTAACCCATGTGATTTGACTTGTAAATTGGATAGAAATTCTAAGAATGCTGCTTTTTGAGGAGTTACACTGATTTAAATTATTACCAGACTCTTATGCTAGAAAGCAAGCAACTTAAATTACTGGCTTGAGCCTGAGGAATGTGTTGATGGTGCTCTGCAAGCTGCTGTGAGAGCTGTGCCAGCTCTTGCTAATGCTAACTGACAGCATCTCCCCTTCTCCCTCCATACTGACTGGGACAAGAAGCTGCCAATTATCCCCCAAGAGGATGGGAGGCTGATGGAGCCTCCTTCCCTTGCACATGCTCCTGACAGAGCGTTGCCTGGGCCAGATCTCTTACCAAAGGCACTGCCCTGACCTCCTCCCACCTCCCATGTAGAGAGCTGACCCTACACAGGGCATCCGTTTTTAGCAGCTGGGTGCCTTGGGCACTGCTGCTCTCTGGTGCGGAGCAGCGAGCCCATTTCGGCAGCTCTGCCGGTGTGCAGATGAGGGGAAGACAGCTCAGCCTTTCTGGGTTGCAGAAATGCACCACAGAAGCCTGTTTAGCCACTCATCTGTTGCCAGGCTGGAGAGCTGAGGCTCCACACGACTTCTGGCATCCACAGGCTGTGGAGTGTGGGAGGCACAGCCCATATCAAGGCTGGTGAGGGGTCTTGTACTGTTTGATCCACGGGAGAGTTGTCCTTGATCCACAGGAGGGTTTTCCTTGCCGTTGATCCCTTTTCTAGGCTACAGGAACACAGCAACCATCTCTGCTGCTCTCATGTGTGTGGCACAGGGGAGAGTGACTTCCCATCACCCTGCAGAGTGCTGCTGCAGGGCCCCAGCCTCAGTGAAGTGCTTGTCCCCTCCCTGCAGGGGAGCAGGTGATGGTCAGCTGCTGACATCTCTCGGGAGAGACAGCACAGCCCCCACAGGTCCTGGCTCTGCAGGGTACATCAAGGGTGGCACTGCACCAGTGGGATTCACACAGCCCCAGGAGCACTCTGAAAGCAGGTGCTTGATGTGGGAACACAGTCTGGGGTGCAGGGGAGTCTGTGGCAGGCTGTGCTGCCTCTGGTCTCACAGGGCTGGAAATGAAAATCCATTTGTGCATGTTGGGCTTTGACCTTTCTGCATGGCCTTGTGTCCTCCAGTGTCTTGTCTTCCCAGGTCCCTGTATGTGAGTACTTGCACACCTTCCCTCTCCCTGTCCTGCCCTTCCACACTGTGTGTGTGACTCTGTAGTCCTCCAGTGCCTGCCAGCCTGTTTGCCTTGTGCATGTGTGTGTGAGTGCTCTGTGCACATCTATGGCATTATCCTCAAAGTTCGCTTTTTTTTCTGTTCTAATACAGCTTGGGTGGGTGGATTTGGTTCTTTGATGGGGACAGAATTTGAACAGCTTCTACCTGGAATAATTCAACGCCACGTTCATTGGAAAATAAGCCTGACTCTTAATGAATGGTGCTGGGATGCTTTGGTTGGAGATACATGCCATCATGTTAAACCATTGCCATGTCCATCAGGTTAAGTCTGTATTCTCATGACTGCATAGCATTTGAGTACGCTTTCTGAGTTCTGTTTCATTTGGGGAGCACTGCCCCATCGGTCAGGTAACACTTCACTGGTGATTGCTCATGTAGGTATTGATTTGAGATTTAATAATTGATTAAAAGAAGCATCCAGCAAGACTTCGGATTTATATAGTCAAAAAAAAAAAAGGGGGGGGGGGGGGCAAAGGAAGTTATCCTTAAATTATCCTTACCCTGGCTGGTAAGGAGCTAATGAGCCCTGTTTTGTCACTGAGACGATGTGTAGTACACACACCATGTTGACAGTATTGTCTAATTTATCACAAAGTCTTAGCTCTGTTGTACATGCAAGTGTGGGGGCTTCTGTGTTCAGTGTATTTCTGCAATTCTGATGGTTTGGGGATGAATCATCAAAGAGAGCACTAGTGAAATTTGATTTGGGTAGAGGCAGCTTGGCAAGCGGAGCTGACACCTCTGCAGCTCACGGGGCTGTCAGCAGCTTTACTGCGGAGGTGCCGCAGTGGCAGGAGCCAGGCCAGCAGAGCTGTGAGTCCCCAGGCCCCATCGCCCATGGGGCTGGCTGTGCTCCTTGTGAGCTGGCCCTGCTCAGGCTCCTGCCCCATTCCCACCTGCCCCCAGCGCTGTGGCAGTCGCTGCCCCACCAGCCCAGTGCACTGATGGAGGAGCATAATTGGCAGGGAGAGGCTCCTCAAAGCCGGTCAGTCGTGACCCCGGCCGCTGCTCGAGGGCTGCCTTTCCAGTGGAGGAGGCCGGAGCAGAGCAGAGCTGCTGGGCAAGACACATTCAAGCAGTTTCCCTTTTTAACTACAGACTTAAAATGAGCTTGCCCAGAGGAGACAAAGATTTACTGAGCACAGTTGTTTCTCTACCCTTACTTAAATAGGCCCATAACACTAACCCTGAAGAAGGGACCTCATTCCTCAGTGTCATTTTCCTGACGGGAATGCATATGGCAGGCAGCTTTAGAGCTTTATTGTAGCTGAGAGTTGCTTACAAATAAGTCTTGAATGAAATACCCAGCAAGGGATTGATATGAAGAGAAGCTGTGCAATGCAGTAAGGAGGAATACATCTCCCAAAGAGCTGCCATGAAGGTGGGAAAGGTTCTGCCAGCCCAGCTCTCTTCTGTCAAAATGGATATGATCTCACATCTGTCAGGATTAGTTCTCTCCTGCCCAGCAAGGTGATCTCTTCAGGCCCTGACAATGTCATGCAGCTCGAGCGACTATTTTTTCTGAGCCAAGGTAGAACCTGAGTTACATTTTGAAAGGAATTATATTTTATTTAGCAGCACACGTGTGCTAATTCAAAAAGAAACCCTCCCGCTGCCCCTGCCCAAACCCTTTGAGGTTTAGGGAATGGGCTGCTTTGCTCCAGAGCTAATAAATGGAACAGGTGATTCCGTTTTGCAGAGCTCCAGTGGGCCCTGTGCTAAGCGTGTGACTGGCATTTGTGCATGCTCTCTAATTAGAAGGATGTAATTTAAATGGAGGAATGTTTCATGTTAGTAATATGATTTCAAAAGGCTATGTTTGGAGGGAATGGATTGAGCCATCTCTTAATGAGTTCTGCTAATAAGATGCCAGTGGCTAAGGAAGGAGAGCAAAGTGTGTTCAATTTGGCAAAGTAGTGAACAGCTTTTGCACTTCATTTTATCTGTCCTGAGGGATAGACAGGCAAAAATGTTGACTGCCCCTCATGTACCCCCCCGAGTGTAACTGAGTACTCTGTGCTGGTTCTGTGACCCTACTAGCTGTCTCCTCCTTGTTTCAGTGCGGCGTGTTGCTCCTCGATTCTCTATCCCTCCGAGCAACCACGAGGTGATGCCTGGGGGGAGCGTGAACCTCACGTGTGTGGCAGTAGGTGCTCCAATGCCCTACGTGAAGTGGATGGCTGGTGTGGAGGAACTGACCAAAGAAGATGAGATGCCCGTTGGTAGGAATGTCCTGGAGCTGAATAACATCATGCAGTCTGCCAACTACACCTGTGTGGCCATCTCTTCCCTCGGCATGATAGAAGCCACAGCCCAGATCACTGTCAAAGGTAAGGATCTATGTGACTTTTCCAGTTTGCAAGGGAGCAAACCAAACACACAACTTTGGTTTTTCCTGTTCACTGTATGATGATATTTGCTCTGTAGGTCATTTTCTCTCTCCCTGCAAGTGGCATGGTAGACAATCTTGTGCCAGGCCAGGTCCTTGTTATACCATGAGAGAACCTCAGTGAGACTGTTTGTGTCAGCAATGTCTGGCTTGCTCTGTGCATCAGCAGGATCAGCTCAGCACAGTGGTGGGCCATGGGCTGTCTTGGGGCAGGGTCTGTGATTGTGTGCAGTCAGAGAGCTGTTTGCACAGATGTCCTCTTTCAGTAAGGGTGGGACACCAAGGTTAATCCCAGCAATGTGAAGTGTCCATGAGCCTCAAAATGAGCATCCTCCTTCTCTGCAGGGAGGAGCTCTATGTGTTCATTTAAAATTTGTTATATAATGCTCTGTGTCTTCCCTTACTGCTTTGCCTCTCTCTTTCTCTTGTGTTGCTGTCTTTCAGCTGTACTTTCTGCTGACATTTCACAAGTAGCTTTGCCCCAAAGAGGATATTGTTGCAGATTACTGATTAGGGGGTAGCCCACCCCCTAAAAGGAGGCTGAAGGTGTCCTGCCTTTCCCATCTGGGGCCTATCAGAGCCACAGTATCCCTTTCCTTCTCTGCTTGCAGTTGATTTGTAGCTCAGATTACCACAAATACGTCATCTTTTGAGTCTGTCTACTCCTGCAGACCCTTCCTGCGCTAAGGCCACCTTTAACATAAAGTTCCTGCTTGAACAAATCAGAGAATTGAGTGTTAGCCCTCTCTTACCTGGAGAAAACAGCAAATTCTCTTGGCTAGTCAGAGGATGCTTTTAACCTTAGCTGCACCCACAACACCTGCTCGTCAGCGCCTTTTCCAGCCTTGCTTTTCATACAGAGCACAGTGGTTGCCTTGCTACAGTAGATACACAAGAGCATACAGAAAAAAGGGCCATGATGGGATGGTGGTTTGGTCTTGGAGGGAAGAGGTGGGAACTGCAGCATTGCACTGATGGTTCACAGCATTTACCTCTTCATAGCTGGAATGCCTTTGCCTCGCTTCCTCACTGGCTGATGTGATGCCTCAGGACAGGGAGCAATCTGCTCAGCTCTGTTATCCCTTCACCTTTTTCCTTGTGTCCTCATCTGCTTTTTCTGCACCTTTACTCTGGATATTTTACTGCCTCTGTCCCAAACTCCTTCACCCAGTGTTGCTTCTCCTTGCTGGCAAGCAGACTGTTTTCAGTGCAGACAGGAGAAGCAAGATTACACACAACTGATTGCACTTAAGTGCGCTGGAAGCTCCAGACCTGTCCTTGCTCACATGGAGGCTGCACATCCAACAGCTGTCAAGAGTCAAACCTGCAGCTCTTCAAAAGAATTTCATCTGTCCTTGAAAGTCTGTGGAAGGTCCTAGGTCTCTAGGTTTCTAAGTTCCTAGGATGCTGTAGGAAATGCGTTTCTTCGGGCCATAATATTGTGCAGGTTGGGTTTGTCCTCCATGGGTAGTGGTGGGGTGTCTGGCTGTGGGTTGTGTGCCATCCCCTCCTATGCCAGTTCAGCCCCTGATTATCTTCTCAGTATTCATGTTGCAGGAGCACTGGAGGAAGCATTCTCTCTGGTACTCAGAGCAGGCATGCCCTGTGCTAAGGAGCTTGCCTTCCTCAGTTGAAACTGAGAAACATGTGGAAACTAGAAGCCTGATGGCTTTGCCAAAGAGTGAAATTCTTGAGGATCTTAATTTGGATTGAGCATTTTCCCTAGTTCCTTGTCAAGCACAGCTGCATTACAAGTCACTAATGACTTTAGAGTGATTTGTAGGAGGTTTAAACTTACTGTAGACTTTAATTCAGTCATTGTAGTAAAGTATTTGTGTACTCTGCAAATCTCTCTCACACACACTCATTCTTTTTCTTTGTTCTTGTGGTAAAATGGCAAATCTGGAAATATTTGCTTGCAGTAGTTGCGTTCTCATTGACACTTCAGAGATGCTACTGTCAGAGTTCTTGTGTAACAGTTTATTGTCTGGTTGCAGTTTGACACACCACCCAGTGAAATAGTGGGTATGAAAGTTGGTCATTTCTCTGGCTGTATCTCTCCTGTATGTACTGTAATACTTACAAAGCATTGCCCCATCAACCCTTCTAACAGCATTGTCCATGAACTCCCTATGGCCTAAGATACTGCCTCTCTGGAAGCAAGAGCATAACTCCAGATTACTTTGGTGCTCTGGTTGCTTTACTGTATCCCTTTGTAAATCAACTGTGCACCTGGCTTCTGGTGCCAGCCCAGCCCAGCAAGCACCTTCCCACTGTGGGGTGAACCCCCATGACAGAAACATTCTTGCATCCCCTTCGAATTACTTTTATTTAGCCTGCTGCTGGTAAGTGCGTCAAGCACATCTAATAACATGATTGCTCTGTTTATCCTTCCATTAAGAACCACTTCAAGCAATATATGGTAATATAAAAATGCATGTTATAGAGTATGAAATGATTTCTGCCTTTTAAAGAAGAATGTTAATGGGAGGTGGCAGCTCCATTTTTATCCCTGTGCACATTGCAAGGTTTGAGCTGACTGAATTATTTAAATCACACCTCTCTGCCTTCCAATTGCAGCACTGCCAAAACCTCCGACAGAGCCATTAGTGACTGAAACGACAGCTACCAGTGTGACCCTCACCTGGGATTCAGGCAACTCTGACCCCATTTCATATTATGTCATCCAGTACAAACCCAAATCCCTGGAGGGCCAGTTCCAGGAGGTGGATGGTGTGGCAACCACCCGCTACAGCATAGGTGGGCTCAGCCCCTTCTCAGAGTACGAGTTCCGGGTCATCGCAGTCAACAACATCGGCAGGGGTCCCCCCAGTGAACTGGTCGAGGCCCGGACAGGAGAGCAAGCTCCTTCAAGCCCACCTCTCAAAGTCCAGGCACGGATGCTGAGCGCCAGCACCATGCTGGTCCAGTGGGAGCAGCCGGAGGAGCCCAATGGACAGATCCGAGGGTACCGCGTGTACTACACCACCGACCCGCACCTGCCTCTGAGCATGTGGCAGAAACACAACACTGATGACAGCCACCTCACCACCGTGGGCAGCCTCATCACAGGCACCACCTACAGCATCCGCGTCCTGGCCTTCACTTCGGTGGGCGACGGGCCCCCCTCGGACATCATCCAGGTCAAAACGCAGCAGGGGGGTACGTATGGAGGGAGGGCCAGCCCTGGAGCCGCCCTGCGCGGCTCAGCTGGGTGTCTGACCTGCACTAGGCATCACAACTGCACTTGGTGCTCAAATGATTGCATGTGAGAGGGTGGGAGGGTATTCCCACCCTACAGCCTTCAGATTTAAGCTGTCAGATTGTCCTGGGAGTTGGTATCAATCTCTGTACAAGTAACAGCCCACAGTTTCGTCTGACACACAGTGGCTAAAAACGTGACACAAAGTCCTGGACTTGGATGCCAGCACCTGTGTAACTGCTGGATCCTTCTGGGGTCTGAGTACACATGTGGCAGGGAGGATCTGGGATGCAGCCAGGGTCTGGAAGTGAGCACAATCCCCATAATCACCCGCCTGAGTGACAGAGGTGCTTACTTGTGGCCCGAGATGTTGTAAGAGCGCAGTACAGGGGAGAAGGGATGTTCTGGCGGAAATGGAAGAAGATCCTCTCATGGTAAAATGCTGACTTTGCTAAATCATGCAACTCTTCTTACCTCTGCTGGCACTAACCATGTGTTTGTTCCCCAGTTCCTGCCCAGCCAGCTGACTTCCAGGCAGAAGCAGAGTCTGATACCCGCATCCTGCTGACGTGGCTGCCCGCCTCTCAGGAACGCATTACTAAATATGAGCTGCTGTACTGGGAAGGGGAGGATGGCACTCAGGTGAGGATCCTGCCTCGCAGCTCTTAGGGCTGAACACGGCAATTTATCAGCTTGGGAAGGGTGACTGCTTGAGCCAGGGTGATAACAGAACTGTTCCTTTATCTTTCTTCTGCCTCAGTGGTGTGCAGTAGGAACATGGCATTCTGGTTTCCGTGTAAGTGACTTCAGCTGTGCTTGTTGATGCCAGCAAAGTAGCTGGTGACTGGTTTGGGGCTGGAAAGGCTCAGAATGCCATGACAGCATCCTTGAGGCATGCTTACTGCTGGTGCCTGTAAACAGTAGCACTTTTGGGCAGGTCTGAAATGGCCTCCCACATGTCTTTGGCCCCTGGACTGGTTAGATGTAAAAAGCAGATTAAAGGTGGCCTAGAGAGAGCCCTTCTACATTTAAGGCAGGTCCCTAAAGGAAGTCCAGTTCAAAATATATCAAAGGTAGGCTGGCTTCAAGACAGCATAGCAAGAATTGTGCCATGACAACATCACAGTGTCCCATGGTCCTCTCCCTCTCCTCTTACTAAAGTGGCATGAGAGCTGCCAAAAATAAGTGCCCTTCAGGTGATGTGTCAACAAAACAAGCTCTTTTCCAGCAGTGTTTTGGTGCATTAGAGATCCCAACTGTTACAGGACGAGGGCTTTACTCTGTTTCACAGGCAGTACACTGTTGGGAGAAAACAAACTTGTGTGTCCTGTGCCCCTTGTCTGAATTTCTATAGCTGGACCCAGCATTCCCACAAAGCTCTCAGGCCAGTGAGTGCAGTCTAGGCACCAGACAGTGTAACCTGGCTCTGGCAGAGGTCTGCTTCCCTGCAGAGTCCTGCTGTGTCACGCAGGAAGCTCCATGGAGTCCTGCAGGACTGCAAGGACGTTTGGCAAGATGGCTGTGACTTTTTGTGGGCCTGGAGTGGCTGCCCACCAACTTTTCTATGTCCTCCAACTACACCAAATAATCTGTTTCCCCTTTTTTTGGCAGCAAAAGGTGGAGTTTGACCCAACCTCCTCATATGCTGTGGAAGGTCTCAAACCAGACACATTGTATAAGTTCCGTCTGGGTGCCCGCTCGGAGCTGGGAGTGGGAGTTTACACCCCCACGGTGGAAGCCAGAACTGCCCAATCCAGTAAGTGCCTGGCGTTCAACACTGCTGGAGACAAAGCAAAAGCAGTCCAGTTTTCATCTCCTGGGCACAGCAAAGCCCAGTGCCTCTGCCCTTGTGGGTTTGCAAGGCATGAAGTTTACTGAAGGAAGTCATGGGGAAAGTCAGCTGGGGTTTGCATCAGGGCTCTTTGGCAGAGTGGGTACACCCAAGGGGTAAGTTGTTTCTTCGTGTCCCTTTGATCATACTGTCTTTCCCTAAGGGTAGATTCTAGAAAACTGATGGAGGAGTAAAACAGGCTGGGAAATTGCTTTGGAGAGATTGATTTGAGTGGGTTTGTGCATCTCTATGAATTTACTCCCATGCAGACAAGCTGTCTGGACAGGCAGCATATGGGTATTTGGCTCTAAATGTGACTGTCTCCAAACCATTGGATTTTCATCCCTTCACTCCCCATTGCAGCTGCCTTGCTTACACAGGAGTCCATCCCTGGTCCCTACACCTGATTGCAAGGTGAGGCATCCTGTGAGGCCAGGTGTGTCTGTGCCTGTCAGGCAGCTGGAGGAGTCATTTTGGAAAAGAGGGTTTGCCAAGGGTTGTGTGAGAAGTGAGGCTGCTGCTTCTGGGACTGCAGTGCTAGGGGAAACCAGAACAAGCTGCAGTTGAGTTAATAGAGAGGCTCAATAATGAGGTGACCCAGGCAATATCACTTTCATCCTGGCTCTGCCCTGCGTGATCACAGAGCGGGAGTTTGCATTGCTCTGATTGGCAGCTCAAAGTGCTGCGCGTAAGCAGATTAGGGCTATCAAAGGGCCCTGCGATAAGCTCGTTTTCACTAACGATTTTTGGGCTTGCCATTATGCAAAGAGCATTAAAAGGGGGGAAAAAAGACATTTCCGTTAGCACCGTCTGTCTGGGATTTACTCGCTGTGTGGAGTGAGCAGTTGGCACAGGCAGCCAGCCTTCCCTGCAGGGAGGGCAGCAGCATGCACAGCAACCAGGAGTGTGAGATGGCCATTAGAAAGGGAGCTCTGGCAGGGAAGAGCAGCTCTGCTCACTTTTAGAATGACCTTCTCTTTGAGGAAAACTCAGCTTCATTAATATACCAGTCCCAGGCATTCCTCCACCTCGTTAAGTGAGCTAATGATGTCTTAGAGCTGCACAATAGACAGGTATGAAAATGGAGAAAGGTTCAGATCATGCAGTTATAAATATTTGAACATTGAGAGCAAATTCTGAATATGGGGATTTGTATACCTGTTTTAGATAGCTTTTGTATTGATAGGCAAAGGTTGAAGTAATTCTCCTGCCATGTAAATTAATTCCATCAGTGGATGCTCTTATCCTTGAACACACTTAATCAGAGACAGCTCCATGCATAAATGAGTCCTTCAGAGTCTCACAACAGTCCAAATAAGAGAAACGTTTGCTTCATGGATTCATCAAGGCAGACATTTTATTGTGACCTACTCTACCTGTTGTCTGCTCACAAGGCATCTCACACCACCCTGGTTTTAAGGCTGTCACTTCACTGGGCAGTGGTGCAGTCGCTGGCTGGTTCTGGCATCTGTTTAGTCAGAGAAATGTGCGTAGGCTGGAAGAGTTTTGGCATTTAGCTGCAGGATTACCTTGGTTTGACCAGTGAAGCCCTCCTCACATGGAAGGACCTAAGAATTCTTAGATTGATCCAAGAAGTGACCTGGGTCATGGTTTACAGGCTCCTACTTGAAAAGATAGCGAGCGGATGGCACTCTGTTCTGTGACTGTTGGCAGGTACTGCTGAGGTACTGTCTGAACCATCCCAGTGCAGTGTGGAGCTTTGAGTACTGGGGGTCTCAGAATCACATAGGTCCTTCAGGAAGCTGTGCTTTACCTTGGCAGAAGTTGTGTGTACAGTGCACAACTTCCAGGCAGAAATCCTTTGTTCTTTACCTAGCAACACCTTCTATTAGATGGTTGGATTGGTCCCCTTTGGCCTTAGAATTTACTAATCTAGAAACACAACAGCTCCTCCTTCCTGCACTTCTCCATCTGGTTACTCTGAAAAAGGCTGTTAGATCATGGGGCTTGACATGTTCAGGTGGGACACAAACTGCAGGAGCAGTCAGATTCCTGCTTTCCAAAAAGCCTCTCTTCAGTCTCTATTCCTGTCCCTGACAAACCAGTCATGGGGAAGGTAGGAGGCCCATGATCACTAATGACTCACTAATGGGCTGGAGAAGGATGCTGGTCTTGCTTTTCTTGTGGCACCCCTGCTCAGGAGTAGGAGGGATGCTTGCGTGGGAAGGCCAGAGGGAGGCAATGCCCTTTTGAACCCTTCAGGAGCAGAGTTGAGACCTCATCTCCTGAGCAGGCAGCTGCTTTCTAGGCTGTCTTTCCTGCTAAGCTGCTCACTTAGTTGCTGGGCACCCTGCAAAAAGTAGAAGCAGTGCTGCTTTGAGGGCCTGAGGAGCACTGGGGAGTTTTCCAGGAGTCTGCAGTGCCTCAGGCAAGCAGAATGATGCAAGAGAGAAACATCAGCTCTGTGCCCATTAGGCCTTGGCATTAAAATGCTGTTCTCCCTTGAAGTACTAAGGTGGGTCCTAAGTCTGCCTGTTCCCTAGCCTAAGGAGCAGGTGGGTTGAATGGGTGCACAGAGTTGCTGTGGGCTGTCGGGGGAGGCTGTCGTGAGTAGCCTGGAGGCAGCAGAGGTTTGCACAGTGTTCGTGTGTGGGTACATCTGCATGTGTGGGTGCATGCTGGCCACCCAGTCTGCTCTTTGCTGGCCCCAGGAGGGACACTTCAACTCCTTGTGCATTTTAAGTTGATCCTGCTCATATTATCAAGTTTTATTTTGTTTTCTTTAAGTGTTGATCTGAGTTTTTGCCTTGTGCATCATATGTGTGACTCTTACCCAGTCAACAGCCAACTTTTGACTTGCCCACACTGTCATCCAAAACTGGCTTTGGAGAATGAGCTCTTTGCTTCATGCCAAGGGAAACTGTGGAGGTTCTGTCAAAGCACATCTCTTCTGTGAGGGGTGTCTGCAGTGGCAAAGGAAAGGTTTGCCAAGCCCCTTGAGTCTCACCTGTCCTGTCTGAAGGATGCCACCAGGCACTTTGTCTGCATTATGCCCTCCATTGTAGGTGTTACTTTGGTGCTGTATCTTCCTACTCTCTTCCCTGCCACTTCTCTGCTGATTAACCAAAAGAGTGTGAGGATTCACTTTTTTTACCCCTGCTCCCTTTTCACTATACCAGATGGCAGGGCTGATCCTGTGCTGTTCACTTCCACGCATTGCTTTGACTTCTTTTTCCCCCGGTGTAGCTCCCATAGCAGCAGTCTGACTGCTCAGGCACCTTCTCTTCCAGCTCCATCACTACTCTCTTCCATCTTTGATTTCTCCAAGCATCTGAGCCCAAGCATCAGGAGTGTTCCCTGCTATCTGAGCACAGGAGTGGGCATTAAAAGTTACATGCAGTCTGCAACTGTTTCTGCAAGCAAGTGGGCCTTGTTCCCAGCAAGCAGAGGTCACAGTGGCATTGGGATGTCCTGCTGCCCTCTGCTTTCCCAGATCTTCTGACACTGCCAACCTGTGCCCAGAAAGCTAAGGCACCATTGCTGAGTGCTTGAACTACCTGAGGTCCTTGCTTCCATGTGGAGTGATGTAGGTTGTGTTCACCTTGGTGCAGACAGTGAGCAGGGTAGTTCCTGTGCCCCTGCAAGGCTGGCTCTGCTGCCTTGGTGGCTGCAAGGACTGAAGCATGGGGGAGGGCAGTAGTCTTTTTTCAGGTATTTCTGTGTTTCTGAGTGCAGTGAAGAGTGGAAGCTGCCTTTCACCTGCCATGCCATGGCAAAGCAAGATACTTTGTACTCCATTATTGTGTGGCCACACAGCTTTCTAATCTTTGAGCAACAGGGTGCATTTTTTTTAGTTATGATGCCCTGCCCCCTCTGCTTAGGGCTGCTTCCTTCTGGATGAGCACCCAGGGATGGAGCCATGTCCCTTGTTCCTTCCCTGACTGTGGGGGCTCCTTTCCTTCTCCAGACTACCACTCTTGCCTTCTGTGCAGGCGTGCTGTCTGCAGCATCACAGGGCAGTGAGAGCAAATGACAGGGGGCTGATGCTGCCATGAGAGGGCCCCCATGCTGCCAGAGCCCTGGTGCAACCAGAGGTTCTGCAAGGCTGGAGAAGGGAGTGAACCAGGCAGATATCCTCAAGATGCTTTGCTTTGTCCAGATCATCTCTAGTTTCCTGAACTCTCTCTTCTCCCTGCCCAGATTTGTTTTCCTGCTCTTCCCCCGTGTGCTGTGTGGAGAGACTTCGCTCCCAATGATCCCAATGAGAAGCAACTGTTGCCTGGATCCCATTCCTCCTCCTGTGGACAGATAACATTGCCAGGACTTAGAAGTTAATGCAAACTGCAGGTTATCTCCTGTTCCCACATGGTGCCTGGCTCCCACCTGATTAGGATGCAGCATACAGCTGATGGTCATGATTTTAAACCCTACCAGGACAAACAACCTCCAGCCTGTCACCTGCTTTCCTTATCCACTTGTTTCCTCTGCTTGTCTAGGAGTGAGTTTTCACAAGCTTTCCTACAATCTGGTGTGTGAGCTTCCCTTCTGCCACTCTTGCCTGCCACAGCTTTCTACCTCTTCTGCTTTCCATCTGCTTCAGATCTTCACTGAAAGCATCGTTCTTCTCCCTACCAGTCTCTCTCTTGCGCCCTCCACATGCCCCCCTTCCATTACTGCCATTTGTTGCATTTGGTAAAGTGAGCGTCCAGAACTGCTTTGAGAAGAGGTGTTCTTTGATGCAGAACAGCACTTCTGTCTCCACACTGTTCCAATACAAATTACCCCCCTAGTGCCATCTTTGATGATCCAAGAGGATGGCAGGCAGTTGTCCACATGTACATTCAGTTCTCTGTCGGCTGGGTAAAAGTTCCCTGTGCATTTTGGTTCATCCTTCCATTTGTTTCCCTTCATCTCCCCACTTCATTTATTTATCCCCAGCCCCCTCCGCCCCACCCCAAGAAGTCGAGTGTGTAAGCACCAGCTCCACCACCATCCGGGTAAGTTGGGTGCCACCGCCCGCCCAGAGCCGCAATGGGGTCATCACCCAGTACTCCATTGCCTACCAGGCAGTGGAAGGAGATGACAACACCAAGCATGTGGTGGATGGCATTGGACGGGAGCATTCCAGCTGGGAGATCAAGGACCTGGAGAAATGGACCGAATACAAGGTGTGGGTAAGGGCTCACACCGATGTGGGGCCAGGACCGGAGAGCGTCCCCGTGCACGTGCGCACTGACGAGGATGGTAGGTGCTACTGACCAGCTCCTTCAGCTACTGCCATGGGTTAACCCAGCCTCTCCTAACTGAGCTGCTGGAAAAGGGGGGAAAGGGAGCAGGGACATTGACCTGGGAGCGCCTTTCAGGCAGGACCAGAGGCTGTCGGGAACAATGCTCCAGGGAGTGGATCTCAACAGTTGCCCTGTAGTGGGGTTGGGGAATTGCTTTGCTGGCCCTTGCTCTGCCTCCAGGTTGTGTCAGATATCCCATCGTGGTCCTTCAGGGTCCTGGTTTTGTCAGCAGTGCTTCCTGTGCATTCAGGGAGGCATTGCTCTGCTTTCCATTGTGGTTTTATAGTGGGTGGTGGTGGATTCCTTTTTCTTGAAGGTAGAATGAGCTCTCCCAGCCAAAGGCTTCTCTTGAGAGATCAGGACTTAAAGTTTACTTGTTGACCTGAAATCCAGCAAACTAAAGAGGGGGAAAGCAATCTATTTGAAAGTTGTAGATACTGCAGGAAAGCTGCTTCCTGCTCCAGCTTCCAGGCAAGCCACAGCTTATATAAAGCTGCTCTTCCACTCAAGAGTCAGAATACCACACGTACAGAGCACTTTACTGGATACGACAGCTTTAAAGAGAAATTGCTTTGTATTAGCAGGGCTGTCAGTTATGTCATCATGATTTAAGCCATTTCCTTTGAAAGTGCCAGAGCTCAGGGTGACAGTAGGAGCTCCCATGGCTTCATGCTGACCCAAGAAAGCTGCAGATTTAATGGGAGAAGAAAGAGATGGAGTGTCCAGGCAAAGAAAGCAGGATCTCTGTGTTGCCCAGTCACTTTAGGGAATTGAAACCAGACATGTTACAGTTCCCCTAAATGGGCTGCCACTGTCCCCCATGTCTCCATGGCTCTGAAAGTGGCGTCTGGGAATGCCTGCTGACTGCATTCCTGGGCTGGCAAACACATCTGTGTGTGTCCTGCTGCCTGTATTGTTTGCTTCAGTTCTCATTCAGCAGAATTGTCGCCCAGGGGAAGCTGTTACCCCAGAAATGTCGCAACAAGCTCTCTCAGTTAGTTTTTGGGCACCGTGGTTGGACATTCCAGCTTAGCTGTCAAGAGTGATTTTTATATTCCTCTGACATGCTGATGCTCAGTAGATCCTCATGATGAAGGAATAAGAAATGCTAAACTATGGTCTGAAAACAAATTGAACTTTCCCTGTTTGGATCTCAGATGAAGCACATACTTCCCATAGTGGGGTAGGACAGAGTTCCTCGAAACACTGTGGTCTGTTCACATTGACATCTTTTTGTGTCCCTGCATCATCCCCATATCATGTCCTGCCGAGGCCTCCCGCCTTCTCATGCCAGCAGAGCTTGACATGCAGCTTCTGTCTGGTTCTCAGGGGGGATCTTGTTTTCCGCTTGGACTCCCAGCTGTGTGTGTGGGCAGGTGTCTTGCCAGGTCAGGAGAGCCCTGTGGCTTGTGGAAGGTCACTGCACTAAGTGAATTGTGGATTACAGCATAGGCTGCTCCAGGCAGAAGGGGGTAACTATTCAAGCACAGCCCCCTCCATTCCCATACCTTGAGTTGGTCTCATGGTGCTAAAATGCTCTGTTCCTCCTTTCTCTATTTTATTAAATTATCTACAATTACAAAGGACATCTGGGGAAAAGTAATGAATTGCCCTGCAGCTTAAAAACTGTGCTTACCTGCTGGGTAGCTGTTTCGTCCCATTTAGTTGGTTGAAATAGCAATACTCATTACGTCTTCTTGTCAGGTATCCATCCCTAATTATCTAATACTGGTTTCTTGCTGTGTTGAGAATTGGGTCATAGGAGGTTCCAAACCCCCAGATTTTCCCAGGGTGATGGAAGGTGAAAAGGGTTCTGCAGATGAGGTGATAGGATGAAGCCCAGGTCCTTCACTTGGTACTGGGCACTTGGGTAGCATCAGTATCCTCCACAGAGTGCACACCTCTACTCCCAGCTGCTTCAGCCAGAAGGAGTTTTCCAGGAGCAACTGAGAAGCTAATTTTTTAGAATTGACATTTTTGTCACAGTCAATGCAAGAGCAAAATATAATAACGAGGTAATTTTTCCAAATGGTAAATAGGGTATAAATACATTTTTAAACGGGCCTCACCTTGCAAGAAAATTGATATTTTCTGGGCAGTGTAATTTTTCATTTTATTATCAAAAAGCATTCAGCTAGCCATGCATGAAATACAGTCCCCAGAGCTGTCACAATCCCCACAGGCCCCTTTATCTGGCTGAGTTCAGTGACTGCTGTCTCTGAGCTCTGGGTTATTGTTTTAGGATGGTGCTTTTCCCCCTCATTAACCTCTCACTGTCACAGGGGAAGAGCACGTGTGTGCTCTGGCTGGTGGCAGGTACCAGGGCTCCCTGCAAAACAGACTCAACACCCAGTCATGCTACCTGGGGCTCTTGCACTGCATTTAGATGGGTCTGAGAGGAAGTGTTGCGTCAGGCAAGATGGAAAGAAAGCTTTAAAGCCCCTGCTTGGGCCCCAGGGTACCCTGAGCTGCAGGGGGTCACCGTGTTCTTTATATGCTTCTGTATTCTTGTATTCCTCCTTGCTCCCCTACTGCTGGAGATGTGAGGGATAGGTGGACAATGGGCCTGATTCAGCACAATTCCTTTAGTTAGGGGTGCTCCTATATATTACAAGTATGCTCTTTCCTACTGAGAGTAGCAAAAGGGAAGGGGTCAGGGCTGTGGTCATGCTGCAAGACTGCAGTGTGATGTCCTGGGCAGGCACAGGAAGCTCATATGGGGCCATCCTGGCAGTGAGGTGGGGGGAAGGTAGCAGAGGAGTGAGAGGTAGTGACAGTGATTGTGTGGTACCTGCTAACTGTTGTCCCGTGTGTGTTGCAGTGCCCAGCGCCCCGCCGCGAAAGGTGGAGGTGGAGTCTGTGAATTCGACTGCCATCCGGGTGAGCTGGAAGCTGCCCATCTCCAACAAGCAGCATGGGCAGATCCGAGGGTATCAGGTTACCTATGTGAAGCTGGAAAACAACGAGCCCCGAGGGCAGCCAGTGATTAAGGACGTCATGCTGTCAGAAGCACAGGTACAGTGTGGGGACCACCAGATGGTGGGCATGACACCTTCCCTTTCTGCAGAGGGCAGGCTGGCTGGATCCAAGTATTTCTTGGCCTCCTCTTGCAGCTCCAGAGCGTGGGACTCAGCCTGCCTGAGCAAGGCAAACAGTTTATCCTTAAGCTGTAGCTTAAACATGGGTAAAAGGTTTAATCAGGAAAGAATTGCTGTAGAAAAGATGATGTTTTGGATGATGTTCCTCTCTTACCCCTTCTCTGATATGTACCTCTCTGCCTGCCACATCCTGTGCAGACTGCAGCTGAAGCAAACTGAGCTTTGCCAGTCCGTTTATGAATGGTCAGAAAGTTTTAAATAAGCCCTGAGTCTGTTTTCTTTGTGATGCTGATGATGTTTAGGGCAGAGCATCTTTCTTGATAGCATCCACTTGGGTACTGCCTGCTCGTGGGCCACGAGGGTGTCTCTGCACCCCTGTGTGGGCACAGCATGCCAGGCAGAACAGCACTTCTGGCTCAGCAAAGCCTCCCCTCCTTCCTGCTTCTGCAGGGCAGGGCCTTGATGTTGCATTGCTTCTCGAAACCAAACAGTAGGTGAAACTGACTTAGTCTGGGAAAGGCTGGGGTGGAAGAAAGAAAATGAGGTGATGGCCCACATTCCCTGGAAATGACTTTGTCCTCTGCAATCCCTGTGCAACAATCTGTTCATACTTAGGCAATCTCCTGGATACCTCACTGTCTGTGAGCTGCAGCCCTCTTCCCACGCCCTGCTCCAGGCATGGCTGTGCACTCTGCACAGCCCAGGAATGCACAGTTGCCTCTTTCCCAAAGTCCAAGGAAGTTTATGGTGCCCCGTGTGCAATGAAATACAACTCTTCTTTGGAGCAGGGGTCCTTTATCCTGGATGACCCACGCTGTTCTCAACTAAGATAATCATATAAATGAAGAACAGGATCTGCTGCTGTTGGTAGCAACGAGGAATCGATTCAGAGCTGACTTGCTTGAATGATGCCCAGTATAAATACTGGAGAGCTGCAACGATTAATTGATCTGTCTCCTGAATGCAGCTGTGAATCATTTATGCGTTTGTCAGTGGGGAGTTCAGTGCACAGAGGCAGCTTTACTCCCCATTCATATTCTGAAGGATAAAACTCAGTAATAATGTGGAAGGGAAAACTTTAAAGAGAGAAAAGACTTTGAGGGTCCTTGCAGTGTTGTCTGGGACATATCTCTGTTTATGTTTCAGATGTTGCTTTTTAATAGTTGGAGAAGCTGCTTCCTGCCCTTTACTTATTCCAGGAGAATATAATCCTCTGTGTTGTTAGAACAGTTAAGGCTGTGTTGTTCAGCTGGAGTTTGGAGTTAATGGGTTGGTCCCAAGTGTAGGTGGGCGAAGTTGGCAATGTTTTTCTTCTTGGTGTTTTCAAATATTTTATGCTTGCCCAGCCAGTTCTGCTTTCACTCCTTACTCATACATTTCAGAGAGAGAAATCCCATGCTGATGTGCAGAATGAGGATGCCAGAGCCAGAAACTTTTGAAGGAGTGCTGGATTTTGCATTAGTTTGAATGTGTACATCAAGGAGGCAAGCTCCTAGAAGTTTCCTGGCCTGTCAGGCCACTTGCCAGTCTTCTATATTTGGTGAATTTATGTGGGAAAGTTCTTGATTTCTGTGATATTTTTTCCTGCTGTGTATGGTGCTGAACTCATCCACTGTAATTTTTGGGTGGAAGTGAAAATGATAGTTGCAGAGAAGCGACTACTCTGAAAGAGTCATGTCGCTCTTGGGATAAGCTAATGACAGCCCTGCAGGGAAGAGGTTTCACTGACTTGGCAGAAGAGATCTCTATTTCCCAAAAGAGTGAGAAGCCAGGCATGACCTGTGCTTGTGATGAAATACATCTGTTCCAGATGCTGAAGAACCCTGTAAGAGCTGCCATCTTTCAGTACAGCAGTGCGTGTCTTTGCAAACAGCCAGATGAAACTTTAACGAGTAGTCCTGGAAGAGTTATTTTCTGTGAAAGAAAACAAAAAGATACACTGGAAAACCTGGCCCTGAAGGTTATAAGATAAAGATGGCCACAGTTCAGTACTCAGAAACATTCAGAAGCATTTAAACCAGTGCACAGGGAGAAAATTAAACAGATTGAAAATCTCGGGGTCAGAGAAGAAAATCCTGGACAGGTAGGCAGAGCCTCTGCTCCTGCCTTGCCAGGCTGTCTGCTGATTTGAGTAGGAATGTACCACATAATCTGCTTCCTGCAGGCAGTGTGAAGACACTGATACTAAAGCTGACTCATGATTTTTCCTTATTGAAGATGAGAAATGGAAAGAGAGTAAACGAAGATGAAAGGAAGACGGTAAGGGAACGGAGATGTTAGCTATGCAGATAATATGGATTCTGAGCTTTCAAAACCGTTTGAGCGGAAAGGACTAAAACATCAGCAGAGACGTGGGGGCCCTGGTGCTGGAGAGATTTTATTTTACAGCCTCCTGCCTGGGCAGAGTAATCAGTTGTTAAGAAGGTCCTGTGATGGAACTGAGGCCTCTCCCTCCCCTCTGTGGCTGTGCTTGTGAGTGATTACCTCTGTCAGGATTCTGTGTGCCTTCCAGTCTGAGCTCTCACCTCCTACTGACAGCCTGATGGACAAGCAAATGTGACCCTACCCTGTGGAGGAGCTCCCAGGGTGTGTGCAGCTGCAGAGCTGGATCAGGTTCCTGCAGCACCTCTTGCCTGGGCCGTGCCTGTCATGGCTCAGCCGGGTCCCATGGTGGGTGATGGCAGAAGATTCATCTCTGTGCCCTGGGTCTTGCATAAAGCACATCCAAGCACCAAGAGAGCTTTTGAAAGGAGTCCACTGCTGGAGCTGCACTCCACCACTACTTCAAGTCCTCACCAGCTCAAGGGAGCAAGGGATAGCAGGACCATGGGACACAAGCATTAATATTGACAGGGCAGGCAGGGCCCACTTCATTTCCTTGGTCTCCAATCTCTGGGCAGCTGGTGCATGTTAGGAGGGGCAGAGGCCTTGAACCCCTTCATCCTTGTAGATCCAGCCTGCCCAAACAACTTTGTGGGGCTGGCTGGGACAGCTGGCTACACGGAGGTCAGGCTTTGTGAAGAGATTCCTGCCACCTTCTCCTGCTGTGCAGAGTCATGGCACGGGAAAGGTATGTGCCACCCGCAAGAAGGGCTGCAGGCTCACAGGAGGGAGGTGTGGTCTCTGAAAGCAGCACTTTCACCAGCCAGCATGCAAACTGAGTGCACATTCCACCAGCTTGCTCCAGAGGAGCAGGAGGAAGAAATGGCAATCACTTCAAGCTATTGGATTGAGATCAAAGTAGAAAGCAGAGACTTAAATTCTCCCCGAGCAGTACCTACCCCAGGCACAACACAGAGGAATTTATAGCCTCCCTCTTCATTGCATGATAGTCAAGGACCTTTCTCTGAATGTACTTGGAACATCTCATACATGTGTACTTGTCTAGGTGGAGTCTGACATGGAGGTGGGATGTTCTCTGCTTCTTAAATGGAACAAAACTGTAAGTCATCATCCAAGAGGCACTAAAGTAAAGGACCAAGATGAAGTTCTGATACCCTCAGACCCATCTGCATCTCACTGAGTACCTGAGCTTATGTCAGAAGTTCCACTGTGGCACCACAGTGACTGAAGCAGAAAGGAGAGGAATCTGCAGGAAAACCAATATTGCCTTCCCATAGCTGGGACTGTTGAGAGCTTGAATCTGTCTTCTGCAAGAGCCTTGGTCAGGGAAAACAGACATTCCCTGGTGAGACATGACTATGCTGTGTTGAAGTGTAAAATGAAACATTAAAGCATTGCAGCTGCCATAAATACACACTGTTAGCTTTAGCACTTCGCAGAGCCATCGGGCCTCATGCACACAGCCCTCTCTCAGCTCTTTTTATGACTGCTCCTGGGCTTTTCACATCAATTTGTCTTACTGACCAACCTTAAACAGTTAAGAAGCAATTGAGCTAGTTTAAGGAAGGAAGTGTTTTGATCTGTAGATTAAATTTTCGTAATGAAACTGAATTTATACCAAGGTATTTATGCAAGCCTGGTTTTTCAGTTGTTACTCCAGCACAGATCTCAAGGCATTTCTTTGCACTCTGATCTAATGCAAGATTAAAGTCCACTGAAACATTAGAGCAAACAGAGTTTGAACATTAAACACTTGGTTTAAAATCCTAGGGCATGATAAACTCCCTGCTATGGCGTAGGAGGCCTCCTGAGCCCAGCTCTGCTCTGCTGTTCCTTTTGCAGTGAGATGTCACATTCTGCTCCTGTATTCATGGAGGCAGGCTGGGGTGTTCCCAACCACCTGGTTTTCACCCATTAGAGACGTGCTTTTGTAAAAGTGAGTACCAGGCCTGGGATCCTTCCTGTGGCAGCACTTCTGCCAGCTTTTAGATCAGCAGGGTGGAGTGTGTGGCTGCTGACCATGGCCTGGGCTGGCTGCACGGGTGGGACATAAAGAGCAGTGACCTGGGTTCAGCTAACTGTGCAACAGTGGAAATAGCACTGAGATGTGTGTGGAAAGAGAGCCTTTAGTCAGCATGATACTTAGCGAGGGTCTTGGCTTTATAGAAAGTATTTAGGGGCAACTTGCCCTCTTTGCTGAAATTTACTGTTAAGATGGTTTAGGGGATAATTTTACTGCAGTCTCATGGCATCTAATAAGTGAACTATAATAAAATCTTAGAGGAACATTTCTCCAAAAGCTTCTTCTCTCTGAATTTAGAGACTAAACTAGCAAATATTTTGAAAGTTTGTCATGTATTTTACTGCTGAGGTGAGTATTATGCCACTGTGATAGGCTGCAGCCTTCGAAAGCCACTTCAAATAGCCTGAGTTCAAAAGGCAACTTGTATCTTTGATGCAGTTTAGTGCTTCTTTTGCACTTGCAGGTTCCCAAACACTCCAGCAGTGTTAGCTGAGCTTCCCAGGGTCCTGAGGAAGTTGGTATATGAGCTGTTTCACAGCTGTCAGGTCAGGCTGAGAAGCAAGGTTTGCCGGGGCTCACGCTGTGAATCAGGGGCAATAATACCTATCTTCACTTTCATCTCTGTGCTTGAACCCATGGACTGGTGCTTCCTCCAGGCAGATTTAGTAACGTGAGCTGTAACACATCACCTTGGCTGAGAGAGTTCTGTGTGATCTCTTCAAGCCTTCCTTTGGTGCACCAACCACAAAGAACAGTGCTGCGGGCATGCGTGGCAGCAGCCAGGCTCTACTGTCTCACCATCCCAATGCAGCTTTGATGCCTTACAACCCCAAATCCAGCCAGAAGAGTTCAGAGCCCATGTTGAACTGCCATGGCCAGGAATCCATGGGAGCTTTTGGTGGGAAATAGTTTGTGCAGAAGCTTTCCCTGCAGGGCAGCTGTTGCCAAGTGAGCATTTGCCATTTGGTGTTGTGTAATTGGGAGTGAGAAGTGTTTCCTCAGTACATGCACAAGTTTGAACCTCTCTCCAAGCTACACACCACTGTTGGAGAGGAGCACTTACTGTGAAGCTCTGTGTGAGATCTCAGCTTCTCTTGCACTGTTGATGACAGATGTTTTCAGTTTTCTGAAGTCCCCAGAGCATTTTGTTGCAAATGATACAGAAAAAAAAGAGGCTCTAGAAATGCTGCATTGGTGCTTCCCTGCAGAGAGTGCCTCTGTTTTGTGTGTTGAAGTCTTTGGTTCTCAGCAGGAGTTGGTGGCTGGAGGATCACTAGAACAGAAACTGGAGATTAGGCAACAAAACTGTTGAGTGACTTGTGGGCAGCAGTCACCCTCAGAACCTAGCTGGTACAACCTATCCCTTCCTGCTTCTGCTCATGGAAAAGGCAGGAAAATGCAAACAAAGACAGAAGGGGAAACTACCGCAAAGTACAAAAAGTAAGGGATGACCTCTCCACCCAAGTGAGAAGGAAGCTCTTTTTTTGTGTGAATGATCTCAGACTCATTGCGCAGGCTAGCAGCATGTCAAAAATTGCTCTATGCCATTTCTTCCCTTGACACAGCCTGTGTCAAGTGACCCTCTGTGTATAAGTGTTGTAATTCCCCCAACCCAGTTCTGCTAACCCCTGCTGTTGTCGTCATTGTCATCCCTTTCCTACATTTTGCCCCTTAAAATTCTGTGTCTCCATTTTTCTCTCCTCCTTCCTTTCTCCCTCGTCAGTGGAGAGCTGAGGACTCCGTCGACCATGTAAGTACCACTTGTGTGTATCCAGGTTGGAAGAGAGGGGTTTGGTAAATCGATTTGTGAATTTTGTAGACACAGTACTGTCAAAACATTCCTTTCACTCCCTTAATGAGGCTGGAGAGTTACATTGTGAAACCTTCCGCAAGCAGCAAATCCAGAGAAAACTGGCATTTAGATTGCTCCTAAATGCAGAAAAGCAATTGACATTTCCTATAATCTGTATTTCCAGCTTGTTGCAGTGCAGTTTTAGGCAGGTTCAAGTGATCGACTCAGGAGGTTCATCCTGCAGTAGTTGGCCCACCAAGTTATGTGGTAAAATTAGATACAGAATCTTTAAACCACATTGATCGTAGTCATGAGAAATAACCTACACCCTCAACCATGACCTTTGGTTGAAACACAGATAGTAATAAGAAAACAATCACATTTCAACAGTTAAATTCAATTTTTCCCCATATAATTCTGAGATATAAATTTGGAGGAACAAACTAGAAAATGACCTTTTTAGAGTCAGCAATTCAATTACGTGCCCTACTGTGAGCTTCCCCAGCACGATGCATTTCTCCTCCTGCTTTATACGGAGCATTCTTGCTCGGAGTGGCTTTGTCATGACAGCACTGTGTTTGCATTATGCAATCAGACCTTCTTTCATCCATCCCTCGTCTCTCTCCCCTCCTCCCAGCTTGCTTGCTTTGCTCCCGGTGGCATGCTTTTGCGTGAGAATTTCTCTTTGCATGGGTTTGGGAGGAGTGAATTCTCTTGGGACGTTCAGAGTCTGCAGGTTTTGTGAGAGTGCTTCCCTGCGGGTCCATTGGCACCGATCGGACTGTGCGTCCGCTCACCCGCACACACGATCTGCTGCAGGGGCGGAGTTGGGATCGGACTCTGGTTCACACGGTGATTTTGGTGGGGTTCTTGTTGGTGCTTGTTGATACTTCTCTGGGCTGGCTGGTTCTGCGATGGTAACGTGGTGATTTTGATGAGTAAGCCTGGGCAGGTAACCTGAACCAGCAGCAATGACTGGAAATCAGCAGGTTTAATAGCGTGGGTGTTTGTGCGAGTGATGGGAGAGTGGCTGAGCTCTGAGGGCAACCACAGGCACCCCTCATACCCCTCAAGCTGGCAAGGAGCCCCTGGGCAGGGGTCAGGCCCCTGGAGCAGCTTCTGACAGTGCCCATGCTGCCTGTTCCCAGCAGCTCAAACTTGACCCTCTCCATCTTTGCTCTTCTCCTTGTCTGAAGGGGTAAATAACCAACATGGAGCCTCTGCCTCCTTTCCAAAAGCTTCCCCAACCCCACCCCCCGTTCATCTCTTGCTCCCTGACCCAATGGGTTATTAGTGCTAATGGCCCAGACACTCCCACTGCACCCACAGATGAATGCTGCTCAGGGGTACCTGCCTGAGCTGCTGAGCTCGCTGTGCTCACTTGTTCGAAGGCCTGGCCAGCCAGGCTTGGCACCAGTCACGTTGCTGCTGGAGGCCAGGAGGGAGGAGCAGTGCTCTTCTCTTTGATCTTGGATTGAAGTGTGGAGCCATGCCCTCCTCCTGCCCAGAGGAAGCCAGAGCATGCAAGGATGTACCTGTGAGTCCGCCCCCTCCCAGACCTCCCACGATGCAGGTTTTCCCTCCAGGTCTTGCCAGGGCCTTGCACTGACCTATCCCATCCCCACAACCCAGTGCCTGGCAAGGAGGGAGAACACAATGCTTAGAGCTGCAGGTGCTCCCTGCCCGGGGCCCCCCACCCTGCTCTGCCTCCCTGTGCTCCCCACAGCTCTGCTGCAAGAGACAACTTTAAAAACCTGGAATTAGCCCCCAAGAGATTCTCATATCCAGGTGAACTTGCTTTTTCTCTGGTTCACAGCTCCATAGTCCTCTTACTTAGCTTTCACACAGAACCATATCTGGATCAGATCTCCCGCTTGGCAGAAGCCGTGGGAGAGCACAGCTGCTGACATGGGTTGCTGGTGGGTCCCTGGAAAGGCCAAGTGTTAAAGGCAGGGGTGGAAATGAGGAAGGTGAGTGTTGGAGTGGCAGCAGTTGTTTTCTGGCTCTGTGCAACATGTGTGTTTGAGCACGATGCGTGAGTGTGAGCCAGGGAGTGTTGTCAGTGTGCTGCTGTTGGAGACACTGACCCTGGTGCCTTCCTTTGGCTCACTCCAGTAACAAGTCTTTGCTCTTCTCCTTTGCCTCCTCTCTGCCTCGTGAATGCGCTCCCAGGAGACAGTCATTGGAGGCCTGCTGCCAGAAACCACCTACTCCGTCACAGTTGCTGCCTACACCACCAAAGGAGATGGTGCCCGCAGCAAGCCCAAAGTCATCACCACCACAGGGGCAGGTGAGTGTGGGGAGCAGGTGTCATAGCCTTGTAGCTAGGTGGTAAAACCTCCCAAGAGGTGCGTGGGGAGTATGGCCAGGGCCAGGAGGAAGCAAGAGGGTTGGAGATGCTGCAGAGGTACAAACTCGTGTGATCTCCAGCCCATACTTAACAGCCTTTGCCACTGGATCACCTGAGCAAAGTGCAGCAAACAGATGGAGAGACGCTACCAGGGCTGGTGAGAGAGCAGTGAAACTCACGGGTCTGAGCTCATCTGCATAGTCCAGAGACCTGGGAAGAGGAAGCCTGAAAGTTCAGGCCCTCCCTCAGCTTTGGAGTGCTGGCCTGTCCTCACCTTGTTCCTTTAGGCAAGTGTCATTTCTTGCTTCCTGTGGTGACTGCAGTGCCGCCTGGAAGGGCCCCTGGCACAGAGGGCTCCTAAGAGGTGCTTCTCAGCTCCCCTCTGCCATTGATGCTACTTACATAGCTGAGCCTGGCTGTTCCTAGAGCCATGGTAAAACCTGGACTGCAACAAATCTGCCATAGAAATGCTGCAGACACAACTTGTAGGTCCTGGTGATTCCAGCCTGTTTGGTTCTGCTGTCTCAGTAAGATCGTACCTGCACCTGGATCAGGGGCACCCAGGAGTCATCTGGCACTTCCCTCCAGGTGAGGTCAAGCTTGCCTTTGGCACTGGTACCAGCTAGTTGACACTGTCTTGTCCACTCACTAGCCTGTCCTACAACCAGTAATCCTGCTGCTTCCTCACACCGGCCGCAGGAACAGTATTTACCACTTGTTATTACTGGAATGCAGCTTGTGCAAACTGAGAGCGTTTGTTCCTGGTGCTTTTAAACAAGGAACAGCTTGCTATCTCCTCTGCACTGCATATGGGGAGCTCCAGAGGTAGTTTCCACTGTCACAGTCTCAAATGCTGTCTCCCTGGTGCCTTGCCATGATGTATTTTCTGTTCATCAAATTGCTACAGCTGTCCTATAAACAGGAAGAGCTTCCTAAACGTCCCAGTGTTGTACTGTAAACCACAGTGGATCTTCCCGTGTTATGATGCACATTTTAAGGTTAATATTTGGAATCAGCTTGGAAAATACTGTGTCCCTTAATACTAGCTGCTGTTAGACATTGTATTATGAGTGCAAGGAGGATGGCACTGGCAATGGGAATGTAATTGCATCTCTTAAATACATACAAAACCGCCTTCAGGGCCTTTGTACAGGCTCGACTGCAGGCATGACCTCAAAGGGGAGCGTTGGTGTCGCCCTCTGATGGCAAAAGGGGGGCATAATTCTGGCAAATACGGTTTTCTCTTGTGCTCGACTTTGGGCTCATACATTTCAAAAAACTGCAAGGATATTTGACTGGGTTTGGCTGCATATTTTTTTTTCCATTTCTCTGGCCCCATGCCTTTGATTCTGAGTATCTTCCCTATCAGTTGATTTGTTTACAAATCTGAGCTGATGTGAAGACGCATCCTTTTTTTAACTGAAGGAGATCAAGGTACTAAACCATCAATTTAAAGCCATCAGTTCCTAACCAGTGACGGCAACGCCCCTTGACTCGTGCAGCGTAAGCAAAAATCCTGTGGAACGCTTGTGTTCACCTCTCACATCGACACTGACATCACGAATCTACTTCTCAACTAAACCAAAATATATTCTGATGGCAAACAGCCCACCCAGCTCTGCTCGCTGCCTCTGCAGATGGTAAAACTGCAAGGTTTCAGGATGAAATTTGTCTGCCTCCAGACAGACCAGGGCGCTGGAATCGGGCTTCGGGGTGTCTGTTGTGGTACAGTGCATCAGGGCCAGCATGACCTGGTGCTGTGCACTGGCTGGAGTGTCTGAAGACCACTGATTGGGAGGACAGGATTCAAATCTTCTCTGAGATAAATGTGATGCTTTGAGGTACCTTAAACATTTCCTGTAAAAGGGGATGAATTTTGGGGCTGGATATGGCTGAATTTATTTCCGGTTTAAATGGCAGCACATGGGAAAATGGCAACCAAGAGCTGGCTGGCTCTAGCTTCCCTCACCACTGGATTAGGGTCAGTCTGCCTCTATCCCTGTGAATTGTCTGTCATCCTCTTCACCCTGTTGTCTGAACTTTCCCACTTTCCTCAATCCTCACGGACTGAGCAGCACGGAAGCGGTCCTTCCTTCCCCTCCTCCCAGGCTATAGATGGTCATTGTGTGTTTATGTTGCAGTCCCGGGGAAGCCCACCATGATGATTAGCACGACAGCCATGAACACAGCCCTCATCCAGTGGCACCCACCCAAGGAGATGGTAGGGGAGCTGCTGGGTTACCGGCTGCAGTACAGACGTCTGGATGAGGAAAAAATGAACACGATAGACTTCGGGAAGAGAGACCATCACTACACAGTGACAAACCTGCACAAGGGGGCCACCTACCTCTTCAAATTGTCTGCCAAGAACAGAGCTGGCCCAGGAGAAGAGTTTGAGAAGGAGATCACAACTGCCGAAGATGTGCCAAGCGGCTTCCCACAGAACCTGCGTGTGGTGGGTCTCACCACTTCCACCACAGAAGTTGCTTGGGACCCCCCGGTCTTGGCAGAAAGGAACGGCAAGATCGTCAACTACACAGTGGTATACAGAGACATAAATAGCCAGCAGGACCTGGTTAACATCACCAAGGACACGAGTATCACTTTGACAAATTTGAAACCTGATACCACTTACGACATCAAAGTGAGGGCCCGCACCAATAAGGGGGCTGGGCCACTCAGCCCCAGCATCCAGTCCCGGACCATGCCTGTAGAGCAAGGTAAGTGCCCCTCTAACAAACCCTAACAGGAAGCTCTGCCTCCAGGACAGGGACCTTTGCTTTGGTTCATGAGGCTTCGCTCCCCTCTGCTCTGACTGTTGTGATCAGGTACTGTGCCCACAGGCACCCTTGGATGTTTTATCTGTGCATGAAAGGCTCTTGGTTGAACCAGAGCAGGTGGCTGAATAGGATCATCTGCAGATCCAGTATCTGAATAACACTGCTGTTTGATCACGGTGTAGGGCCGAGGGAGTGTGAGTGGAGCAGGGACAGAGAAAGGCTGCAGTTCAGCCTACAACTTCCTTTCCGTGATGCTGAAAAGTATAGTCAAAAAGCAGAACTCCTCTGGAGACCGTAGACTTGGTAAAAGGCTGCTGCTCTCTTCTCCTCATTTCTTACTTCTCTGTCGCTGAACTCTTTGACCTCTGCTGCTGAGTTAGACAAAGAGACCTGGAGTCGAGCTGCCACCTGGCTCCCTCCTGACTTGGCTTTACAGTGCTCAAATACCTTGTTTTTCATTTCAGTGTTTGCTAAGAACTTCCGTGTCAATGCCGTCATGAAAACGTCTGTGTTGCTGAGCTGGGAAGTGCCTGACTCCTATAAATCTGCAGTGCCTTTTAAGGTAAGAGGGGGATTTGGAGGAGAGGAAGCTCCACCTGTGGCAGTGAGCAGGACAGTGGATGGCAGCATCAGCAGCTGGCTCCTATCGGTCAGGCTCACCACTGTAGCTACATGACGGTGGTCAAACAAGCTTGTCCTGATGCCTGACATGCAACTGAGGTGTGAAAAATTAAAAATTTGATTTAATCACAAAGAATTAGCAGGACAAAGTGGTCTGAAAACCAGCCAGTGAATAAAAGATTATAATAACTCTTTCTACAACATGTCCTGTCTCAAACATCCATATCACCCTCATGAGTTATTTCAGAGCATCAGGGCAGATGCATAATCTCAGGGAGTGAAGGGAAGAAGCATCATCAAACTTCCTGAAGGTCTTAGAGGTGTGAGCACCACAAAATGTGTCAGTACAGAAGGAACTCTGCAGGAATGCTGCTCTCCTTTCACCAGTACAGTTCTGGATGTGGTGTCATCCAGCAGGTGCAGACAACACTGATCACGCTGCCTTCCTGCTCTTGTCTGACCCCCAGTACTTGTCACCTATACGGATAAAAGACTGGAGTGTATAGATCTCAGTGCAGTTTCTCTCCATTAAGTAACAACTCCAACATGTCACATCATCAAAGATAATCTTCCCAGTCTCAGCACCAATCTGCTGCCTCTGCAGAGGTGCCAGGGTGGAAGCAGTGTGACTTCTCTTTCTCCTTGCATGTGCCCCCCGCCATGCTGTGCCTAAAGTGCAAATACAAGGCCTGCATGAGCTGTGGGGGATCCACAGCCAGGGAAATGAGGGGAAATCTTGAACTACATCCACATCAAAGTGTGTGAGCACCTCCCCTTCCCTGTTACTAGCTCTCCTTGTTTAAACCCTGAAGCTGAATTACCTTGATCAATAGCAGGCACTTGTTAACATACAGTTTAGCTGAAGCAGACAAGGCTTTTGTGAAGACCTTGTGGTATTCAAAGCTCTCCCAGATGTAGGGCACATTAGGATCAGTGTTCAGATATCTGGCTGCAAGGAACTTCACAGAGCCCTGTTACTTGGCACTCTGCTGCAGAACCTGTGTGCTTCATTTTGCTTTGTCTTGTGGCCCAAAGCCCACATTGCTGTCTGACAGCACAGTGCTGGGAAGGGACAGTGTGACCCTTGGAGCATTACTACCACACAGGGATGGTGAAGTGGTTGGAGGTAGCCAGGAGCCAGGGATGTGCTGCTGATGCCCTGTCTGTCTCCACTCCTAGCTGTATAGCTGTGATTGCTATCTCAGGGTGACTCAGGTCTGCCCATGCTGCAGGTTAGCCCTCAGCTGACAGGGGAGATGGCATTAGCCACTTGCTAACTTAAGAGCAGTCATGCAAACCAGAGTGTTAGAGGGATATTTCTGTAACAGTGCCGTCTTTTTATTAATATTCCCAGACTCACAGACACACGTGAGTCAAGGCCAGGAGCTTAAGAGGGTCAACTGTAACTCCTTGAATTGTGCCAGTTGAAAGAAATCCTTAACCTTCAGGATTTTGTGTTTTTATAAACAAGGTTCACCTCTCTCCTCTAATTCAGGCACGTGGAATGCTGAGGCCAGAGCCTAATACTGTAACTAGCATAGCAGATAAATCTCCATGGGAACAATTAGTATTATCTACACTTGATAAACAGTCTCATGCTAAATCTATGTCCCAAAGGGTGTCATATTCTACTTTAACAGATTTAATTAAAGTAGATATTGTTCCAACAATGAATAGTGAGGCACAGGAAGGACTGGTGCTTTTTTTTTATTAGAGAATGATCTGAGACCTCAAGATTTTTCATTGCTGCCAAATCAATAATGAAGTTTTGAGATCTCTTTGGGGAATTTTCACAGCTTCTTCTGGTCCAGGAGATAAATTCCTTGTAAAATGTTGCCCAGCGGTTGTGGTGGAGACGAGGCACCATTCCTTTTCTTACTCCACCTGCAAAAAGTTGTTCTAGAGCTTTCATGGAAAGCACAAGATAGATACAACCTTCTCCTTGGGGAAAGTGCATTTCCTAAGACACATTCTTCACCTTAAGAGTGGGACAGAGGATATATTGGTTAAAGGCAGCATTACAAGGTATTTTAGAAATGGGGAGAAGGAACAGCACCTTTTGAAAATTATAATGATACAGTTTTGGAAATAACCCCTGAGAATGCTGGGCAGTGCTTTCTCACAGTGTGTCCCATGGAATGTAGTAATTACTGCTGCCTGCAAATACTCCAGCCTCATCTACTTCTCCATTGAGTTGTTATCTTTGCCAGTGTCACACTATGTGTCTTTTCATCTTTTAGTTCAGTACATTCTGTACTGCCTTGAAATCAAGCATGAGACCTTAAGCAGTGACATTTGGACTCACCTAGCTTTGCAAATCTTTCCCTGTGAGTAGGAGCAGCACAGATGACATTTTACAGCAATCTGTGGGCTAGTCAGCACTCTTTGGCACTTCAGAACCCGTGGGCCAGATTTGCTGCTGACTCTGGTAGTTACCAGTGGGCCATGATGCAGCCTCTAAATAGCATTCCTGCTTGAGCTTCTGGGCATCTTCCAGCTGCACATGAATGACTGTTTCTGAGCCCTTACATTAGTGTAAGGTTTATGTAGAGGCCTTGACTAATGGTGCATAACATTTGAGAAGACAATGTGTTGTGGCAGGTAAAAGGATGCAGAACTGCTGCAGCAGCTGTGAAAAGGAGGGATGGCAGAGAATGCTTCAGGAAGGCATTGCAAATGCCAATTTCACTGTCCTTGCATGCAAATTCCTGTGCATGGCAATAAAAATCATCATCTGGTGTCAGCTCTGAATCAGAGGCTGTGTCCTGGCCATTACAGTGCAGAGCAAGCAGGAAAACTCTGAACTAAATGCTTACCATCTTTTCTGCTTCTTGCTCTAGGAAAATGGCTGTGTCCCCAGCACATGCTCATGTGCAGGCAGTTGGTGGGTGTCTTCCCTAGAGCACACTGAGAAGCGTTTGGTGATGCCTTTATTAGGGAAGAATTCATAATGAGAAATCCAAGAGGCAGCAGAAGTCTGGGCTTTTCATCCTTTCAGCATAGGTTTTAGTGTTGGAAGTTTGGTTTTGTTCAAATCTCCGTGTGAGCACATGAAAGAGAAATCTGTCTGTTCCCCCAGGACACGCCCTGATTTACAGGCATCTGGTGTATCTAGACCTGTACTGTTGCAATGTTTTGGAAGGGGTGGTGCTGGTCCAGACAGCAGAGCTGCTGGATTTAAAGTCTAGTAGTCCTCTCTTCGGTATGGCTACTTTTGTGTCAGAGCAACTGCTTATCTGATAGTCCAGTGCTGCAAGAAGCATTTGTTCATTTTGATTTTTCACTCATTTTAGCACGCAGCTGATGTACATGTCTTTGGAGAAAGGGATTAAGGCCCAGGAGAGAGTACTATTAAGAGGAGTCACAACAGAAAACAATTCCCTCTGGCTGTTCTACTATGCTACCTTTGACAGCCCTTCATGCACGTGGAGCAGCAGCAGGGCCTTTTGTCCCTACAAACCTGTTACTTTAGCTCCTTGGTGCTTACTTTTGCAGTCCATTCCTGAAAACTGAAGCATGTCAACAAATGAGATTGGTTGCATCTCTTCTCCATAGCTGGCTTCTCTCTGCTGCTGTGTTATTTGTTAGGAGTCTTTTCTCACCAAAAAAGCTGGAACTCTTTTCCTATCCTGACCTCCATGCAAAGTGACATGAAGAGGATTGAAGCATGCTGTGGGTATTGCTGTTTGGATAACACAAAAGCTGAGCTGCAAATTCTGGGCCTAGCCAGGTCCTTGTGCTCCACTGTCCTTCAGATCTCTTTCCAGGACCTCTCTTCCCCTTCCAGCTCCAACACTGAACATTAGAGCAGTGCTAATCAGCTGCCCTTATACTAGAAAGCTGGCAGCTTTCTGTAGATTTCAGCCACCTGCTGAAAGGGGGACTTGAAGGAAAGTTTGGTCCCTCCCTTGCTGCTGGAGTCAGCCTGAATGGTGGGCTCAGGTGGTGAAAAATCATTTCAAGTAATTAGTCTTCCACAGAGCTGTCTTCTCTCTTTCAAGGCCACTGTTGAAACAAGCACATTTTACCGTGTGGTCTCTGGCATGGTTTAACATGCTCCATCTCTGCCATTAACAGTTTTTGGCATGCTGTGTCTCTGCACCACTGTCAGGAATCCAGCACTCCCCTGCCAGGTGTTGGACAGTCACCTGGTGCAAAGAAATAAGCTGATTTTTCACAGCTGGGACACAACCTATGGCCTCTCTAGCTGTCTACACCCCATTTGTCTCTCTCTCTGGAAACTGTGTGAGTTTTTGATTTACAGAGGCAGCACCCAAGATTTTGGGGTAAGGAGCTGTTCCAGCAGGATCAGGATCGAGGTTCCCTGGGCAGATGGGCCGTTGGGTGCAGCTAATCCAGCAGTGCCAATGGTTGCTGTGCCTGGGGGAAGGTGGGGGTCCTGCATGTCGACAACAAGGCAGTGAGAAGTGTTGTTGGCTGAGGAGTCTGCGAGGGGAAGCTGAGCTTGGGGGCTGCTCACTGCCCCCAGCCACCAGCAGCTCTGCCCTGCCCTGCCCACAGCCCCTTGCTGCAGGCATGGCAGGGAAAAGCAGCTCCGACCTCCTGCCCACGGCTGTGTGGCGCCAGCATCTGTTGTCATGACGACAGGGTGTCACACCTGCAGAGCCGCCGTTCTGGGTACCAATTTGTGAGCCCTGTGCCGGATTTGTCACATCATTGGTGAGGCGTGTAACCCCCCCCCGGTCACCTTGCTGGGAGGGGAAGGATCTGCATTAAGCATCCAGCCAGGCATCAGCTGGTAGACATGGGAGTGACACCAATTTAAAGCAGGCTGGATTTTACACCTCAAGCCTATTGCGTGTTGTAGCCTCGTAAGACAAGAAACAAAGACCCATTCATTTCCACATGGGGGCAAAGCACAGCCATCTGGATTCCTCCCCCAAGTAGGTGCTGAAAAGCAGGGCATGTGGCACCACCAGTCTCACTGCTGGCCCTGGCCACCCAGGCTGAGATGACCCCTCTCTGCTCCACCACTGTGAGGCACAGGGAGGACAGCCCACCCTCTGCTGGGGGTTGCTCTTTAGCTGAAGATTTATGGCTGTTTGCAAAGCATAAAGTAGCCAAACCACCTGAGGGAGGGCCCAGAGCCAAACTGTCATCTCTAGCACTGCTATTTTGAGTGTGAGTTTGCAGCAGCAGCTGTCAGCTGCATGAACATGTCCTTTTCCTGTTTCAGATTCTGTACAATAGCCAGAGTGTGGAGGTGGACGGCCACTCGATGAAGAAACTCATAAGTGACCTCCAGCCAGACACGGACTATTCTTTTGTGCTAATGAACCGTGGGAGCAGCGCAGGGGGGCTCCAGCACCTCGTCTCAATCCGCACTGCTCCTGATGTCTTGCAAAGCAAACCCATCGCCACAAACAAGTACATACAGGAAGGAAAATTCACACTAACTCTTCCCAAAGTGCAGACCACTGTGCCAGTTCGGTAGGTGCCGTGCCTGGGTGTTGAAGGCAGGGTGGGGGGCTAGGGGTGGGGAGAGAAAGGCAGGGCAGACCTTTGCTAACATGTGGATTTTGTAACCGGGGAGTGAATTTCCAAGCAGGCTGTGGTACAGAGGCAGGCATTTACCCATAACATGGGATCACGGTCTTGGCTCTTCCTGGGCAAATATTGATGTGTAATAAAATTAAGACAATTCTCTGACAGTTTGCTCTCACCCTGCTGGGTATACTCCAGATGCTACCAGCATAAATACAGTTGAGGATCAGGAGGGACTTTCTCTGACACTGTATAATATCCTTTAAATAAATAATGCCTAAAGCCTCAAGGAGATTAGAAAAGCGAGTTTATGGAAGTCTTATTCGTTACTGTGGTATCCTTGTGCTGAAGCACAATTTCCCCAGGGTTCTTGCTACAATCCGATTATATAAATGTCCTTCTCACAGCTCCCACACCACCCTCTGGAACCCAGTATGTAGATCTTCATTATCCTAATGAGTGCTAATGGCAGTATTCTCTTCTTTGGTGCAGCTGGAAACCAGCCTTTTCCTTACTGAGCCCTTTTGCTGCTTAAAGGGCACAGAAAGGAGTAGGTCATGCTTGAGTCATACAGCACACATTATTTGGTGACCTGCCAGAGAGATGGCTCAGGGTCCAGTGCTTATGTTTCCTTCCTTCCCAGGTGGTACTACATCGTGGTTGTGCCAGCAGACCAGAGCACCAGCACCCTGACTGCTCGGTGGCGGACTCCGGATGAGATGGAGCTGGACCAGGTAGGAACCTGTAGCAGCTGCTGTGATGGAAGTGATTCCCAAGCAGCCCAGTGCACTTTGCCCAGGCTTCCTGGCAGCAGCATGGATGCAGCAACACAGGTGCAGGCTGCACATCAGAGATGGGGGCTGTGTTGTGGGTGCCCACTCAGCCTTTCTTCATGTAGGAAGGAGGCTGGAGTCAAGGTAAGGAGGAGCTACCTCCCAGAATGTGCCACCTTAGGGAGACCACATTTGAGTGTCTCAGAGCTCTGGCCAGGACAGATCCTGTCGCAGGTCATACAGTCCTTGCAGCCCTTTTTCAGATGAAATGACCATGCTGATGCTGAAAACAAGCTAGGAGAGAAAATTACTGGTTTCAGTTCATTAAGCTTTGTTGTCAGGAGTCTTTTCCCTCTCTGGACAGGACCTAAGCCTGCAGTGTAGATAAAGAGTTCATTCTTGTATCTAACAAAACCTGCAAAGCTCCCTTCACACCTGCTTGTTAAAGGCTTTGAGCATTCACCAGCCATTACCCCAAGATGCAGCTTGTCCTGTGCCAGCAGTGCTCTGACACCCGAGGCATGAAACATGTGCAGGTGTCAGGAGACTCCCACACAAGGGCTTTGTGGGCTCTTTCTTCCCCACACACACCACATACACCACTTCCCAAAGTGTAAAGGAAAAATTCTGAGAAATAGCACACAGAAAGATCCATTAAGAGAACAAAGTTGCAAGCTTGAAGCACTCAGAAATGGCAAACAGTTAGGAGCTGTAAGTCAGCCCTTGGCTTTATTTACACGATCACACGGTCCTTTTTGTGAGGTTCCAGCTCCACAATGTGTATTTGTGGTTCTGTTCTGCAAATGAAGCACAGCTGTGTGATGGAGAACCATCACACACAGGTCTCCTGCATGTTTTCATTGCAGAAGTTTTCCAGCATAGCAGATGTCACGAGAAAAAGAAGACCAGCATGAGGAAGGTTGCTTTGGTTTTCTGTTTTAGTTGGTTGAAAGCTATCGAAAGAACTGGTTTCTGTCTCATCCAGCCTCAGGCAAATGATTTAAGCCAAAATTTTCATTAGCAGCGAGTGTCTTGCATATTGTGATTTTTTTGAGTGTTCAGTTTGAGATCCTGGAGCTCTCATTTGCAAAGCCTAAGCATCCCCAGCTGCAGAGAAAGTAAATAGGAGCTGGATACAGTCAGTGCTATAAAGAAAATACTAAGTTTTCTTGGAAAAAAAAAGCTAATGTCATTTCAAATTTAGTGGACATTTTTTACATTAATGTTGCAGTGTTTCTGTTCTCCATCTGTAAAATTGGGATAATCACTTTCATCTTGACTCATATGGGTCTTTGGAAGATAAGATCATTAATGTTTGTGAAGTACTTGTAATAGTATAGTGATCAGCACCATAGAAAAGCCCATGAGGAAATTATTAATTTTGTCTTCAGAGCTGGATTTGAATAGTAAGCAATAAACAAGGCCTCAGGCTGCATAATGCAAAGAAGAAAACAAAATGTGGAATAGCTACTCTTTGATTAAGCACTGTCTGTCCTGTCTATTGAGGAAAGCAGGGGACTTACAGAAAAGATAGTCTGTGACTCTGCAGTCAGGGGTGCTGCAGAATGCACGTACATAAAACAGTTGAATTAATTTTCCACAGGCAGTATTAATTTTCTAACTTTTCAGGATCTGAACAGGCCTAGCAGTTTTCTGATTCACAGTATTTTGCTGTGTATTACATGTATAAGGGGCAGAAGCCTCCAGCAACCTTAACCACAACTGGAGCCCTGTGGTTTTGTGTATATGCTGCACTTTCTGCCCCAAAGAGCTCAGTAATCTCAGAGATCTGTAATCTCAGCCAGATGCAAGAGATGGGTATAAGAAGCAAACTCCACACTCCAAAAACTTCCTGCTTTTTCCCCTCAGGATTACAATGACATTTATGAAACAACTAAGATTTCTCCAGCCTCTTCTTTTATTTTCTTAATTTTTTTTTTTTCTGGTGGTACTATAATGACAAAGTATAGTTTTTCCTAAATTGCTTCTGTGTGAGTACTGATAAGAGGACAAGGATGTACTGTCAAGGGGGAAGAGTGAGGGGTTTCTTCTCCAGCTTCTCCTCCTCAGGGGGAGTAAGCCTAGCTCAGCAGTGTGACTTCGTGTGAACATCACTGTCCTTACCCCTCTGATGTTCCCTGTCTGCCCTGACAATGTTGCATTGATACATTTCTATGTGAAATGTATTTCAGCCCTCCTTCTTCATTTTGAATTAGAATTTCTCTTCCAAACTTGATGTTCATTTTTATTCATTGGAAAAAGAGATCTTTAAACATTTGAGAGTCATTCTTAGCAGTGCAGTTGGATTTTTGTGCATTATATCCTTTTTCATGAAATTGTGACTATGACATTTGCTATTTTTACTCTGAACATTCCATGAAATCTGTTACCATTCTGTGTGGTTTAAACAAAGCTCTGCTTTTGACACAGCAGCAGGTGAAATGCAGAGGCACTGACAGAAGGGAAGGACACAGCAAATGTCACTTTTTCCCTAAACATTGGCATCAGCTGTAATTCACATCCAGTCTCCGTAGAGAGTCTGAGTTGCTGTCCAGACCAATAACCGGGCCACAGAGCATGGCTTGGTTCCCTCACAGCCCATTGGGACACATAACTCAGGGGGACAGTCACAGCCAGGCTGTCTCAGCCCTAACATTTACCACATCAGTGTCCCAGGACTCAGGACACTTCCAAAGTTGAGTTCCTAGTGGAGGTTCTTGCAGTGAGGCTCTGCAGACATATGCCCCACCAGTGCCTGAATGGCTGATACTTGCTTCTGGTTCCTTAGTACCACAGATGCAAATCAAACCCAGTCATCTGCTCCTCCCTTCCCTTCACCCCTACTGAGTGCTACAGCCAGTAAGGTGACAGTGTAAGGCAGTGTCATGCTGTCAGCAATAGTGATGGCACCTTGTTTGTCCCCAGCTGCTGGAGGCCATAAGCCAGGGGAGTCAGAGCAGGCGGCAGCGGCGCCAGGCAGACAGACTCAAACCCTACATTGCTGCTCAAGTGGATGTGCTGCCTGAGACCTTCACCCTGGGGGATGAGAAGAACTACAAAGGTTTCTACAACAAGCCTCTGTCTCAAGACCTGAGCTATCGCTGCTTCGTGCTGGCCTCGCTGGAGGATGGGGACACGGTAAGGACTTTGTGTGGGGAGCACAGCCTGTCTTAGCAGAGCTGAGCTGGGCTCAGTGCAGGCAGGGTGAGCAATTGCTGCAACGCTGGATGACAGAGTTTTCTCTGAAGGGAGGAGGGAGGCTGCATTGCTGGCCTGAACGAGCTGAGGCAGCCGTGGGAATTGACTTGATAAATGGTGTTTTTGGAGGGAAATGGCACCGTGTGTTCCACATAACAGATGAGAGTGGAGGATACTGTCAGCACACACGTTCTGTACAAGCTCAGTTGTGGTTTGCTGGGCTCTGCTCAGAACAGAGCTTGGCACACAGTTGGGATGGGTTCTCATTCTGCTTTGGTTCAAGTAAGTGTCTGTAGAAAGCAATCCACAAAATCCTACCCTGCATAGCAATTGCTGAGACTCTGCAGTGAACAGGATGTTCCCCCTGCAAACCTGCCCTCAAAGGCACTTCTCTGCCCAGAATTTCACTTCAAGATGACACCTGGAAAAGCAAACCTGTCTCCCATCACAGTGGCTTATCAGCAGGGCAGAGGTGCACATTTCCCTGTTGCATGGGGATTCTGCTCCTGCACATGTCCCTGCTAGAAGCCAGCAGCACATGGGCCTGGGCACAGGAGAGGCTGATGCAGTAAGCAAGGAGCAGCACAGCAGGACCTGGGCATCAATGTCCAGCTGTAAATATAGGGCAGGAGTGCTGGTGGCAGCAGTAGCAGCGGACAGTGTGTAAATAATGGGAATAATAGAGATGCACTGAATCCTTTGGTTGGATTCCAAGCTGTGGCTTCCTTCCTCAGCCTCATTTGCTTGCTCATTAGGGCTGTTTGAGTTCTTCATTACTCATCCAGCTCATGTGTTCTTGTGGCAAGATGTGCACACCAGTGAGGGAAGAAGAGTCACAGATAAACAACAAGGTAGTGCAGAGGCCTTGAGATGCACTATCCTGACAATCCCTTTCAAGAAGAGGTGACCTTAACTAGTTAATCCCAACTATAATCATCATCTCCTCACTAGCATAGACTTGCCACAGCCCTCTAGTAAGCCACCAGCCAGCAGTAGCACTCCTACAAACCTCCTATATACCCTGCTCCTACAGACCACCTTTCTGCATCCCCTGCTGCATCACATCCACATTCATTTAGAGGCACTCTATCCGAGGCTGTGCACTATCTCCCCCACCCAGCTCCTCTGAAATTGCTTTCTCTGTCTCTAGTGTCAGCAGGAGAGCGTAACATTGCCCTTCTTCAAAGGCAGAGGAAATGTGGTTGAAACACTGTCTCTGGGAGCAGTGTTTCACCTGCACCTCACAGTCTGCCTTTGGAAATGCCACTGAGATAACAGTCCTTCTGATCTCTTCTGCATCTGACTTTCCTTGGAAGGCAACGACTCCAAAGTGTGTTTGAAAAAAATATGAATCTTTGCCCCTTGCACAAAGCTTTGGAGATGGTCACACCTTGCTGCACACATCAGCATGCACTCCTTCCCTCCCGCACCACCGATGAACCTTGACCTTCTTGGGGTGTCAAAGCCTTTTTGCCTCCCTCACAGAGTAGCCACTTACCCAAGCAAGAGGAGTCACAGGCTTCCTTGTCTATGCCATGTTCAGAGCTGTAGCTGACTCCCTGCCCTGTTGTTTGAACTGGACGTAGGGGTATAGGAACAGTCCAATGGCTTCCAGTGGTCCTGTGCTGACTTCCTCTAGAACAGAATTAAACCAGGAGCTGGCAGCTATTTCAGTTATTGAAATCGGGTCTCATAGGGCTGAAAGGTTTCACAAAGTGGCAACCACCCCCCACACTTCTTTCCCAGATAGTGGCACCTCTGCTGATAAACCTAAGGAGAGCTGCTAGGATGCTGAACAAGTGCGTGGTGCCAGAAGGATGTCCTAGATAAGAGCATTTTCTGTACTCCACATTTGAAACCAGCCTGGCTGGGATCAAGGGCACCTGTGAGAGTAGATCAAGATGTGCATTTGTGTGACACCAGCAGGCTTGATTTTTCCCTTTCTTCTCCTCACGTATGTGAAGACATGAAGTGCATGTTTAAACTACAACCTTAAAGCAGGAGATTTATAGATCCACAGGCACCTCTTCTGTGAATGAAACTTTCTATGGCAGGAACAGAGCTTTCTGACTCCTTAATGCTTGGCAGCAGGTGCCGCTCAAAAGCCACAGGCACAGAACTGATACAGCTCTGGCCCTCTCTAATAGGGGGAAATGATTTGTTTTTGCAGCATTTAACTCTTCTGACCCAGCAACGCTGTGCTGTGAAGGTGCAACACAGCTCCATAAGCCTTAGCAACAGCAGCAGAACACCAGTGTCGTTTTTCTGCAGGAAGGGTTCGGGTTTCTGCTGATTCCATCTAGCTAGTGGGGCTAGAAAGCTGTCCCTTCAGGTTATAAATCACTGCACTGCCACATAGCAGAAAGGAAGGCAACCTGTAAGAATGAGGCTCTTTCTAAGGTCTGTTTATCAAAGACATCAGGTAGAAAATATTCCTGTCATTTCATTCCTTTAAGAAAACACGCCTCGCCCAGCAGGGGTTTTCCTAATATAACTCTATCCTGAAGAGATGTGTTGATATCAGCACAGCAGGTATTGTAAACCACTTAGGAAGGAATCATCAGCCAGCTCCTTTGTGCAATTGGTTGGGATTCAAAAGCTTGTGATTTGGCTCCAAGAGAATCCAGGGCTGGCAAGTGGCTCTTAGCTGGGCTTCTTCAATTTTGCACCTCCAGGTCAGGTTTGTCAGCCATGAAGTTGCTGGCACTGGAGCTGTTTCACACCAGTAAAATTGCTGGCATCCTGAATGTGTCAGGCCAGGCAGAACCTGTTGCCACAGCATGACCTCCACTGATGCCAAGGGAAGGGAGTATCTCATGGTATGTTGCTGGGGTTTGAGAAGCATGGGTGTTCTCTGCTAGCCAGAAGCAAGGGGAAACCTCAGCATTTCAGGGATGTAGCTGTTGCTTTAGCATAATGGATGTTTGCTTTTCTCTCCCTCTCCTGCCTGTGCTGTTCAGAAGAGATATGCAGCCAGCCCCTACTCCGATGAGATCGTGATGGAAGTGGCATCAGCAAAGCAGCAGGATGAACCAGAGATGCTGTGGGTGATGGGACCTGTCCTGGCTGTGATATTAATCATCATCATTGTCATTGCCATACTTCTCTTCAAAAGGTGAGATCCAGTCTGGGACATGGCAGTTATGGCATGAGCACTAGAGGTGCTGGCACCTTCAAGGCCTTCCTTGTAACCTTGAGATACAGGGCGCTCTGACAGACAATCCTTGGTGGTCACAGGGAGAAGGAAGGTCTCTACCTGGCACAGCAGAAGGCTGCTGTGTAAGAGAGCAGGGCTGGGTATGCAGAAGGTAGTTAATATCAGCCCCAGGACACAGCTGCTGTGGATTCTGGAAACATATAAACAGTGGGACAGAAGAGAGCAGCTTTGTCCCTAAAGCCAGTCTGACTGCTCTCTGGTCACAACAACTTGAATTGGCAGCCTTGGTAACTTCTCTAGTACTGGTTCTCTGTAGAAATGGCCTGCTTGATCTGTGGCAGCTGCCCTTCCTCCTGTGAATTTTGACTGAAGAACATGACCATGGTGGTGAGAACAGGGCATGGATATGACAGACTTGAAATCAGAGTGGAGCTTTCTTCTTAGGGCCTCTCAGTCCTGACTCCTGGATCAGAACCACCCTCACACTGTGCTCCCTGTGGGAGCAGACACCTCCTTTTGCCTGGAAGAGCAGTCCTGCTCCAGTTGTAACTGTAGCATGTAATGATTGTTAGTCCTCAGGAGGAGCCATGGGTTGCATTTGCATGTGTTCATGTAGCCTGTTCAATTACAGTAGGTCATTCTCTATCAGCTCAGCTCTGAGGTTCTGCTCCTCTTGGGCTTTCTATTTACATATGGCTCTCTAGCTGGGGAAGGGAGCTGCCTTTGTTGTCTGATTAAATGGGGTTCTGCTGTGCATGTGCAGTCAGTGCCTTTCTGTGTCAGTGATCATCTCCTTTCTTTTGTTCCTGCTTTTCCCTGGATCTAGTAAGCAAGAAAGGTATGAATCCATTTTATCTTTTTGTTCTCCTAAAATTTCAAGTCTATTTCCCTTTCTAAAAATCAAGCCTGAAGCTACTAAGGGACATCTTTGTTTTTGGGAGCGTGGAGCATGCCAGCCTTAGGAGTTTACAAAGACTTTGTTTCCTCAAAGGTATCAGCCTCCTAGCAGTTGTCAGCCTCTCACAGCTCTCAGGGAGAAGTTCCAACATAAAGACTTCCCAGATTGCTTTTGCAATTAAATTAAAAATCAAAAAAACCCGACAATTACAGCAGTTATAGGGGTTCCTTTGTTTTCTCAGTCACTTCAGACTGAGATCTGTTCCCTCAAGAATGCAGGTGCATTCTTGCAGCCTCTAATGAGGAAGCTTTGAGGGAATACGGGGAGACAGTAAGAAACAAGATGTTTGCTGGTCTTTACTGAGAGAAAGTGGCTCCAGAGGGGATTTCTGTACCAAGGCTCCGTAGAAGATATTCCCACCTTGCCTTAGCTTTGCTTTGTCCCGGAGCCGTGTGGCTGGAGCACCAGGAAGCACCAGCCTGAGGTGCCCAGACCTGACATACATGTACCTGCTGCATCCCATCCTTTTCCAGCACCACCCATGTGCTCAGAGTGATGCTGAGGTTTTGGCTGCCCAGCCTCTCTGTGGAGGCATTTTCTCTCAAAGGTATCTGTGTGTAATATTCACAGTGGCAAGTCTAATGGGAATAAATTGAAGCTGAGCAGCAGTGGATAGCTTGGGATCTGGAGGATGGTTTAGCAGTTGCCCTGACTGGGCTAATGAGACAGAGATAAAGTTTAATTACATGCTGTGTCCATTCCCCAAAAAAGATGGCCCAGTTTGCTTGAGGACTGGTACACAGTAGCACATTGCATATCCTGCTGTGCCCCTGATAGGAGATTTATTTGTTGGCTCAGTATTCTCCATTCTTTCTATCAGTGCTCTCAGTCCTTCAGCTTTTTTGTCTTGGTCCAGGCAGCTGGAAGGCTTCTGAGATGTTGAGATGCCTCAGAGTAGTGTAAAACAAGCTGGTTTTCTCCACTGAACAACTCCAGTGTTTGCTGCAGCCTCAGGCTGCAGGTGGAGCTTGCTCACAGGCTGGGCCACACAAAGAACACACACAGGTTTCACTCATGATTTATGCACTAAATTTTCTCAAAGTGCTTCTTGTTAGTGGCAGCCCAGCATGCCCAGCCTCTGATGGAAGTGAAAGGGCCCTGTACCTGTGAGAGCATTTGGGATCATGCATAGTTCAGGGTCCCACCATCCAGGGATGCTGCTGCCTTTGTGCAGAACCTGGCAGCCCTTCAGTGTGCTTCCAGGTGCCTCACAAGGAGGTCCAAAGCAGAGACTGACTCTTGCCATTTGCAGGCTGGTAAATGTGCTTGCATTCATACAGAGCAGCAGTGCTGCAGCTCCTTCTCTTCCAGGAAACATCAGGTCAGCAGTGGTGTTCAGGCAAAATCCATTTGGGGGCTGTATCCAAAAGACAAAATCTCTGTATTCCTGCATGCTCAGTGCATTGGCCAAGCGCCAGGGTCAGCACAGCCTCAGAAGAGAGAACTGCTGTGCTACTCTTCAACCCTTGGGTCTACCCAACATATTTGTAATCTAGAGCTAGAAGAGGGACTTAGAGATTGACTAGAAACTCTTCTTGCAGTATTATATTTTCCTTAATACTCACTTGTCCACTTTTTGATTGGATCTGTCCCTGCTTTGCCTGTGAATTCCAGCAAGAGCCTGAGGTAGTGGCATCGCTTTAGGCATAAATACAGCATGAAGAGACAACATTGTATTTTATTGTTCCATTAATACACGCCTTGGGTGCCTTCAACCATTCAAGACATGTATTAATGGCCCAATAAAACACACCCTGAAGAGCCTTTACACTATTATATTACAGCATTCTATATTTAAATATTTCTAATACTTGAAAAAAATTTTATTATATCCTTCCACTACAGGAAATAGTTCCTAGAGACAGTAAGAGGAAACAACATCTTGCCTCTATCTGCATTTTCTCTAATAAATACTATGCAGAATACCACATTCCAAAACTGCCTCACTAATCAAACATCTGACATCACTTACATATAATCTCCCATTTCATAGATGGGAAATTGGAGGCATGGAAGATGATATGACTTACCCAGAGCCCTGAGAGGCTGGGGTGGGCCTGGATGTCTGGGACACAGGGACCCAGACTCCTTCCCAGAGTGATTCATGCCAGTCTATGCCAGAACTCATCTGCTTGTCTCTGCCCTCTCTGTCCACAGGAAAAGGGCACATTCCCCTTCTTCCAAGGATGAGCATTCCATCGGCCTGAAGGACTCACTCTTGGCCCACTCGTCGGACCCAGTTGAGATGAGGCGGCTCAACTACCAGACTCCAGGTAAGGAGCAGCTTATCCTCTTGAATCCTGCTTCCTCTGGATCCCCTTCTCCATGTCACCAGAGGCAGAGTTGCAGTCCTTCATACCCTCCAGGAGATCCACACCTTCTCAGTCACAGTGACACAAGAGTGGGTTTTAGACCAAGGATGCCCAAGTGTTTCTGGGTTGCAAATCCTTCTCCCTGTCCCTGTCACTGCAGGCCCTTGAGGCTGGGGAGCCTGGATGGGGCAGGCCTGTTTTGTGGTGTGTGTCAGACATGGTGTGAAGCTCATTACAGTTGTCCTGAGCTGGGAGGAGCCTCCATGCAGTTGGGAGTGTCCACACATGGGATGCTCCACATGATGCTGAACTGGTTTCGTCCTGGCTGAGCTTCAGTGCTGAGCACAACTGGTGCAGTGTTGGCCACATGGGCTGCATCTGGGGCAGTCAGGAGGTACACAGAGCTCTTACACTGCTGTGGGTGTCCCAGCAACTTCATTCTGGGATCTCTGGTATGCTGACTCTCCTGCTCTGCTCAATTAAGGGTCAAGAGAAGAGCAACCTGCAGACTCTAGTGCTCTGCAGCCAGTGTTGTGTCCCACTGAAGGGCTCTGCTGATCGTGGTGTTCTCAGTGCAGAGAATGATAATTCAGTAAAAGCCATTCTCTGCATGCTGCTTTCACTGGCCTGGGATGCCTCAGGCTGTAGCTTTGCCAGCTCATGGAGGCAACTGTACTTCACACTGCAGAAAGGTCTTGTGCTGCTGCTTTGTGTCTGCACGTCTCTGATGGCACCAAAAGCACAGTACCTGTCATTGTAGTGATCAGAGACAGGCTCGCCCTCACTCGTTCAGAGCCTTTCAGAGAGTCCAAGTCCTAGATGAACTGAGGGAGCGCTTGGGCTTTTGTGATGGAGGGAGCAGTTCAGCAGCAAATGAGGCACATAGAGCTCTCTTCTAACTTCCAGCTCCTCCTGGTCTCTAACCTACTTTCCTTTTCCTCCTGCTGCTCATTCATCTAAGAGTTTTCATCTAACAGGAGAGTTTTGAAGGGGCCATTTCCTCATGTAAAACTGCTGTGTCTGGTGGGGGGGGCAAGGACAGCCTTTCTTGTTGCCACTCACAGCAGTCTGGCTCATACCTGGGGTGAATTACACCAGCACATCTTTTTCTGTGCCAGGGCAGCTGTCAGGGGTCCTTAGTTAGTGCATCTCCCAGGCAGAACCAGTGGCAGATCTCATGTGTGGGCAGCAGCAGCAGGCTGGTAGTTGTCAGCAGAGCTGGCACATTAATTGGCCACAGCACAGCACAGGATGGTGTCACAGCATGGGAGGAAGATGCTGTGGGGAGCAAGGGAGGCATATGTGCCAGAGGAAGAACATCTCAACAGGCAGATCGCTGGGAGCAGCACTAGGGAGAGGGTCACACACAGTCAGCAGCAGCATGCAGCTTCTTGAGGAGGAGCACAGTGTGTTAAACAGGGCTGCTCCAGGACAGCTGTGCATGGGGACAGGCCTCTGTGACATGTCTCCATGTGGGCACAAAAGCCATCTTTGCTATATGCTTGTAGTTTGCATTGAGTGGAGGATTGTGGCAATTCGGGCTTGCATCTGCTCCCATCTTCAGAGAGGTCAGGGTGTTTGCAGCAAGGATGTCCCTTGCTAGACCTGTAGCAAGGTTCAAGAGCTGCCATCAGAGAGTTTTCCTGTCTGTGAGTGAGGATAAGCCAAAGATGCTGCTTACTTGGTAAGTTTGCAGAGCTCTCTGAAGAGACAAAACCAAGGCAGAGTGCCCAGCTCAGGCAAGACAGCAGCAGGATCCTGGGATACTGCCAGACAACGCTCCCCTACCAAGAGACAGCACTCTGTCCTCCTCTCCTTCTCCCCACTGCATCCCCTGTGAGTCTCTGAGGGGCAGAAGCGGGTGTCATGCAGCTTGAAGTGACTGTTCCAGCTCCTGACGAGCTTGTCCTCATTAATGAGGCGTGTGAAATCCACCAGGCACAGTGGGCCCAAGCTGTTGCCCCTGTCACCTGATGGAGGTCAAGGCAGTGCTGTGAGGATGCATTGACAAGAGGTGCTGGCCAGCAGCCCTGGTAGTTGGTCTCCCTGCTGGAGCTTGCTGAGCAGGGAAAACTTGTTTAATGCATAATTAATTGGTCTACTGTTATTAAATATTAAGCTTTCTCATTTTTGCAGTTTTTACTTCAGACAAGGGTTATTCCCCACTGTTGGCCTCCCTGTACTAACGTACTGCTGTGCCAAGTCACTGAGGGGATACAGGACTGGGCAGTGTCCCAGTACCCCATGAAATGAGATTGACTTGTGCTGCTGATGAGCTATGAGTGAGCTGGAGGCTCAGGTGCACTGAGCAGAGGTGGCTGGGGCTGAGTGCAGTCCCCCTGGCCACCAAGCAGCACCAATGCCCCCTGTACCTGCCATTTACTGGCCCTTGCAGGCTTCCCTGGGGCATGGGGCTGGGGCCAGTGGTGTGCAGTGAGAGCTGTAGCTCTTGGTGTCACATGAAGGCCTGTGGACTCACTCCCTTGCAAGTAGCTCCAGCTCCACGTGTTTGCCCGTGTCAGGGGATGGCACTGGTCAGAGCCAGCAGCCTGCTGTGCAACAGCCAGCTGCAGAGCAGCCCCCAGGGCCAGGCAGTCGCTCCTATGCAGGAGGGAAGCTCCCAGTGCTGTGGCATATGGTGCTTTCCTTTTCATCTTCATCTTGTTGTCTTTCCATCTCTGAACCTCTGCAATGATGACTAAAGGCTAATGGGATTTCTGTTCTTGCCCCGTTTTCTTTTCTTTGCAGGTGCCAGTGTCCCCTGTTGCCCGAATATCTCAAGTTAGTTTTAACTCCTGTTTTTATCTTTCGACACCTTTTGCTTTTTCTTTCCCTTTCTCTCTCATTTCTGTATTTTTTGTTTCGATGTCATGAAGATCACCTTCACTCACAGCAGATTGTAAAATGGCAGTGATTTCACTTTCTGACATGTCTGGGGCCAGGCTCGGTCCTGCTCTCACAGCACTACAGCAGCTCACCGCAGCACAGTGCAGAAGGGAAAGTCCTGAGTGATGGGCTGCCAGGAGGCTTCTGCAGCAACCTTTCTCTGCTCTCCAGCCTCCTACCCCCTAGGAGTGGTAGGCCAGGCTCTGCCATGGTGCCCAGTCTGCAGCTGGCCCTGCATGGGGACTCATAACCTTCACGATTCTGAAGGGAGTGACCAGCTAAAAACCCTAAATGGACAAATTGAAGGGTGCTCTTCAGTGGTTGAACACACTCTCTTCCTACCTCGGGCAGATTGGTTTCCCTAGGCTGGGTCACCTGTCATAGACTTAGGCAGAGCACGTGATGGTCTCTGGACTGCCTGCATCTGGTCTGCTTCACAGTGTTGGTGCCAGAATCCCAGGCACAAAGGAGTCACTTACTGCTCTAGCAGCTTGGATGGAGTAGTACCAATCTGCAGATAAAAGTGCCCCCTTATCACTTGTCTTCTGAGCTTCAAGTTCATCCTCAACCAACCATAAAAGCATGGCCACTTTGCTCTGGGGTGTACAAGGCATCTGTGTCTGCACACAGGAGTGGGAGAAGTATGTATGATAAATATTTCCGCTGGGAGCAGAGCCATGGGCTTTGCCATGTGCGTCCCTGCAGGGATTGAGAGACCTCTGAGCTCTTCTAGCCTCATGGTGAGCTCACTGTCCTCTTGCCAGACCAACTGGAAGAGCTTGTGGAAGTCCTGGCAGTGTGTACAAATCTCCATCTTGCTCTCCACTGTCAGTGGCTGTTTTTCTAGATTCACCATAACAGGATTCCAACCACCTCTTTTTCCCCACCCGCTTTTGCAGCTCTTTTGTTCCTGCCACACTTCTCTGGCTGGCAAAACCCAAGTTTGGAGAGACCACCTAGTGTTTCTCAGCAGAGATGAGGGTCTGCAGCTCTGCTGTGGTCCATGGCTTTGCTGTACTTTGCACATAACAGTGTTGGAAGAAGCACATACTGTGGCTGTGTTCCAGTCTCTTTCTCCTTCCTGCCCCACACTTCTGTCTTGGTCCCACACTGTTCTCATCATTCAGTTGCTCATCAGTGACAACTCTGCTCCTGAGCTACAGCCTCAGAGTTCTGGCATGAGTGACAAAATTGTGCCAAAACCAGCATCATCTCTGTCCCTTTGAGGGCCTGCTTAGTCACCTCAGGGATCCTGATGAGTGAAGTGGCAAACAGGACCGTCTGCAGGAGGACCTCAGCACAAGGCAGAATAGGGGTATTTCCTTCTCCACCTGTCTGTGTGTTCTCAGGCCATCCACGGATAGCTCTGCACTGCCAAGCGATGGCAGGATGAGTGTGTGTTGGAGCGGGTCTTGCCTGTGTGCAGTGATGTCAGATGTTTTATGCAGAGATCTGAGGTGTAACATATCCATGTTACCACCTCATGACTTGTCACCACTATGTAAAATGTGTGTATCCAGCCTGAGGACTGCTCCATCACCTCAGTGGCCCATCACTGCCATCTGTGGCAGTGTTCAGCCTCCTGAGCAATTGAGAAGCTTCTGGCTGTGCTCCAGCCTGTCTCCCTGGGTGTGAGTCAACAGCTTCAGCCTATTAATAATCATCATTACCCATGTGGGGTTTCTGGGAAACCCACAGAGCAGCCGATGGAGTCACAAGCCTTGGGATATGGATGACATGTTTCACAATCACGTTTCTGCCAGTTCAGCATCTCAGAGAAGGAGGTTGTGATGGTTAAGCTCTAAATCCCAGGGCCCCAGGAGGGCTCTTTCCAATCCCACATGCATACCCCCACAATACCTGTCCCCTCTGTGGGATCTGTGGGATCCCCTCCTCTAGGCCTTTCTGCTGAGCAGGGCTTCAAGCTGTGCCCAGGATGCTGGATCCCTGGTTTAACTAGGGCAAGACTTCTGCCATGGCTTGAGCTGCATCCCAGCTTCCAGCAGCCTCCCAGAAGCTGCTGGAGGGCACATCGCTGCACATGGTGCCTTGCACGAGCCAGCCCAGAGGGAGCTGGATTTTGGGCCCTGGAGTGAGCTCTGCCTCTGGAGCATCACTGAGGAGTTAGGCAGCTGTGGGCAGAGCTGCTCCTCAGCTCTCAGAACATGGTGCAATGCCCTACCAGGGGATCAGCCATTCTTCCGTGGGGCTCCTTCTCATCCTTCTGTAATGCCCTGGGAACTGTGACAGCATCTGCCTACCCATAAAGCTGTGCACATTCACTGCAGAGGTTTCACTGCAGGTCTGGCAGAGTTTCTTTGTGGCAAATGCCATTGTTAGGTGTAAGCAAGAGGATCAGCCTAAGCCCTTGGCAGTGAGAGCGCCAGAGGATCAGTGTGTTCAACTTCAGCCCATGCGGGAGCCCAGGAAGCACAGTGACAGCGTATCCTCGGCCTGTTCCTGCCAGGGGTGGCCGAGCCCCTGCCCGCTGCGTGGCCTGCTCTGTGTGCCCGGTGGCTGTACTGTCCGAGCATGCTCACCCGGTCATGCACATTCTGCACATCACCTTTGTGTTCTGTTCACCGCCCCGCGTGCTCCGGGAGTGTGTGCCGCATGCCGTGTGAGCTCGTCAGCTTCCTGTCCGTCCCGCCCGGCGCTTCACATATCACACGTGTCTGCCTCGCACCCACCTCCTGGGTTTGCACATGCTCTTGCCGAGCCTTCCTTGGCCATGCAGAGCTGTAACCGTTCTCCTCTCCCTCCTTCCCCCTTGTCTCGCTTGCAGGCATGCGTGACCACCCCCCCATCCCCGTGACCGACCTCGCTGACAACATCGAGCGGCTCAAGGCCAACGATGGGCTGAAGTTCTCCCAGGAGTACGAGGTGAGAGCGGGACGGGCAGCAGGGTACGGTGATGCTGGCTGGGACCCCAGCAGAGAGGGCCTGGGGAAAGCTGAGCTGTGCCTCCCCTGCAGCAATGCTGTGTGGCCAGTCTCCACACCAGGCCTGGGAGCCTGCCAGTTCTCCCTGCCAGCCCACAGTGGTGGGAACTTGCCTTGAGCAGCTGAAGCATGGCTTGTACAGGGAGAAGACTTGCAGGAGAATGCACAGCAACCTGCCATGCTGCCACCGTGGGTATGGTCTGAGTGAATGGGAGCTCATGTCCGCATACCTGGACTGTCACTGTTTACTTTGTTCTGCTCTGTGAGGGCTGCACTCCATCCAGGTTGGCTGAGGTATTTTGGTCTGCAGTATCCTGTGCCCATTCACTTCCATCTGTGTTCAAAGCTTTGCTCTCTGCGCCATCCTCTGATGCCAACAAACATGCATTTTGAGTTTTCATTCCTGCTTTCTCCATCTAATCTCCTACTGGACTGTGCTGGCATTATTAGCCTTTGCTGTTCAGCATCAGTACCCATAGAAACTCTGCTAATGTCCCACTGCTCTGGAGTAGTCGAAGCTCCCCTCCCTGCACAGAGCCTGTGACCTGCAGTCATGAGCTGCAAACTTGCCTGCACTTCTGGATCATACTCCCACCCTTATCCGTGTCTCTGGTGGAGCCCCTGGGTAGATACTGTCTGCATCCACCACTGATGCTGCCTTTGTTCACACACACAGGCATGTGCTGGGTGTTTGGTGAACCCCTCCACTACACCTCTCACAGCCCAACTCCCTCCAGCCCTGTCCTCCCCTGAGAGCAACTTGCCAATGGCATGTACCCATGGAGGAGAAGGGGCTGACCTACCTTAGGGCTACCTCACTTTTTGGCACTCTCCAGGCTGCGTGATCAGGTTTAAAATTGGGAAAAGTTCCTCTGCAGCCATGAGAGCAGCAATGGCAGGATGATGTTTTGCTGTGCTTATATGCAGAGCCCTCTTGAGCTGCAGGGGACTTGTAAATAAACCCCCCACTAGTATTAAAGAGGGAATAAATTTGGGAAGTGTTCTTTGCATGTGTTATCACTTCTGTTTGAATTGTTATCTGCCTGTGCCTGTGGCCACCCCTTCCTGCACTGTACCTACACTGATTTATGAGATGAGATCAGAGCATTTGCCCACAAGGTAGGATTATATATGCCAGGAAAGGGAAAGCAGATCTCTGTGTTGAGATGGTAAGGGACGAATTCCAGCTAGTTCAAAGTGTGTATCCGAGGAAGGCGCAGAGCTCTTTTTTTTGCTTTGGGATGCCAGGTGGAGGGTCTTGGCATCCCTCTGCATGTACTGTCTGAACCAGAGATGAGATGCAGCATTACATTGTGACTTGGGAAATGTTTAAAGGAGTAATGTGCTTCCCTTGCAATTACTTGTGTGTTCATGTATGTCCTGCCAGTGGAGCCAAAGTGTGCAGTCATATCTGTCAGCCTTGGGCTTTTTGTTACCAGTCCAAGTGAAATGTTAAGCAGGGCTGTCCACTCTGCTACAGGCAGGCTGTGGCTCTGCTGCACGGTGGGAATCCAGCAGGATCCAGTGTCTCTGCACTCCCACCCTCACACTAGGCCTGTGCTCAATAGAGCCCGCAGCATAATACTGAGCTGTGGGAACTGTTTTTGAAAAAATGAGCATTAAGTAAATTCTCTTAGCCACTTTCATGAGCCTCTCTCTTCTCATTTCTCATTCTTTAGAATATCATGGCTGGTTGAGAGCACCAATCAGTTGTACTTCTCATGTTGAAGCAGCTATTAAGTAGCTGATTGTTGCACGTAATTTTTTTCCCCTGGATTCTGCTGTGTTTGACTCCTCATCATCTTGAAATTGCTGAACATGACAGGCTTGTACAGTGTTTGACACTAGGATGGACCCAAAAGTAGAAGGGGTTGCACCTTGTTGGCATGTGGGGATCAATGCAATCATTTCCCATTTGAAGTGCCAGTGAGAAGAATCCTGGACTGAGTGTGAAGAGAACAGCAGCTGCCTCTGCAGGATTGCTGTGGCAGCGGGTCTGCTCTCATCCTGGTCCCTGTATGTGTGGGTTTGGCAGGGCAACAGCTCCCTTTGACAGGAGGGCTGCAGGGCAGGATAGGCACGGTGTGCGCTGCTGACTAAGGAAATCTGCAGAGTGGATGTGGAAATAGCGGAGGTGGGAGGGGAGCAGGCTGTGCAGCCCCTGTGGGAGCCTGAGACAGGAACCACACCTCAGCACAGGCTTGCATTTGCAGTAAGCATTGATACAGTCCCAGTGCTCGCCCTGGGGCTCGTTGACCCCCAGACCTTACACAGAGCTGAGTGGTGACCCAGCACTTCGGGAAGTGAAGGCCCCAGCCCTGTTCCCTAAGGTATAATGGTGCTGCCAGAATGGCCATAGCACAGCTGAGCAGGGAGACACGAGGGAGGAAGGCATGGCAGGTGAACCCCCAAGGCCCATTTGCTGTTTGATTGTGCTTTGAAATGGTTGCATTTTAAGTGTTTTTGTCGAGCAGCCTGTCAGCCTAACATCTCTGTGGGGTGCAGGGCTGTTTATAGATGGCTCACATTCCAGGAGCAGTGTCACCACAGGCAGAGAGCAAATATTTAACAGCACTTTTAACCACTGAGGCCAGCTGGCCTGGAGCCATCAGTCTGGCGCTTGCCTTGGCTGTGCAAGCAATAGCAGGGTAACTTAGACACAGGTGACATGAAACAAGACCTGTCAGCACCTCCCCACATGCCTGGGAAGGGGATAGGAAGGGTGGCAGAGATTTCTCACAGCCATCTGACCTCCATTCTCACAGGTCAGAGAACAAATGATATTGCTCACACCAGTTTGCAGCCTGTGTGGCTACGCAGCCCGTGTGGCAAAGCCAGCAAGCTATGGGCTGGCTGCTATGGGCTGGCTGCAGTGTGAGCAGGCTTGTGAGCTGCGCGTTAGCCCTCGCCCCCTGCACCTGGGAGCCATCCCAGCTGTACCTCCTGGTGCCCCTGGTGCAGCAGGAGAGGCTGAGATGCAGTTGCTGGGAGCTGAGCCGTCTGCAGGCACAGTTCACTGCTGCCATCTGCTCTGGAACGGGGCAGAGCACAGCCCTGCCACGCTGTACAGGCAGGCAGCAAGCTGGGGAGCAGGCACAAGGGACTGGCAGCTGCTTCTGGCCTGGCTGCACCGGGAAAGTATTTCATTTTTAGTGTACAGTGAAAGTACAGCGAATTTACAGTGTGGGATTAATGGAATTAAGTAAGTAGAAGGAAGGCTGAGCTCCCTGACTGTGGATTGGAGGTGGTGGCAGGCGCTGTCGCTGATGTTGGAGCTCCTCCTGTGGGCACCTTCCCACACTGCAGCCTGTGCTCCCGGGGCAGCATCCTGCCCACGGGCGCTGCAGGAGTACCTGCCCTGGGACAAGCTGCACACACACACCACATCTCACACTCTCACCGTGGCATCCAGCAAGCTGAGCATTGCTGTCCCCTGCGGTGCTGTTAGCAAACGCATGACAGGCTGGCTCCAACCAGCACTGGTTCCTGCTCTCTTGTAGTGCTGCTACATCCTGCATCACCTTCCCAGGGGAAGATTTTCTCCTTACTCCTTTTGAAACTGCAACTCCTGGCTATTGCCCCTCATGTACAGTCCATCCAGCATGTCCATTCAGTGTGTGGCCCCACAGGGGCAGAGCAGAGCAGGTGATGAGAGCCTGGCAGTGTGGCATGCCTGGCACATTAGTTGGTAGTAATCTTTAGATTGTGTATGAGATTTGACTGTGCTCCTGCTTCCTAGTGTGGTAAGGATGCTGCAGACCTTTCCTCACAATTTTCTGTGGAGAGAAACAATGGTGGTTTGCCCAAACCCTTACATTTCCCATAAAGCCACTGAAGACACTGCATCTCCTGTGCCTGCAGCCCTGGCAAGGCAGATTGGTAGCAGGAAAGGTGCTGGGTCCCTGGGACCAGTGAGCCCAGGAGGTGCTGGGCCCAGGATCTGGGTAACACCAGGGAGCCTTGGTTTAATGGGCTTGCCATGGGTTTGATGTCTCATTGGGAAACCGCCTGGCAGGCACACGGTGCTCACGTTCCGGTAATAAGAATAATAAGGCTGAAGTGCTGCCAGCAATTGATTCAGAAGCACATTATGTCCTCATTTGAGGTACTGCGCAGATTGACAGTGGTCAATGCTCCTGCTAATGTGGTTGATTTCACAGGAGGACAGGAAGCACTCACTGCCTGAGCGTCTCCCTGTCCCCATGCCCTTGTGCAGCTCTGAGCTGCCGTGCTGCCCCAGGGTACTGCCTGCCTGGGCTCTCCATGCCTGCCAGCAGCAGAGGCAGCAGCAGGGCCTCCGCATGCAGAGGGATTCTGGAACTGCTCTAAGGAAGGGGAGCAGCAAGCCCGAGGTGACTGTACCTGAGAGTCAAACTGGCACTCAGGGACGTTTTCAAGGCATTTGTAAAGTGCTCTAGTGTCTGTCGAGGAAAGAGCCTTTTTCCAATCCTTTTTCAATGGTCTGACTCTGTTTTTATGGCAGTAGCAGCAGGGATCCCTGAACTGCTTTGGTGAAGTCGTTCCTTGCACTTCCATGCTGGGAAGGAGGAGTTTTACTAATTGGGCTTTTTCTTAATTTGCACTTGCTGTCTTACAGCATCATTTCAAAGCAAAGTAAAAGTCATGGTGCTTTTAAGTTTGCTTCTGGCTCATTTCCTTCCAATTTCCCAGCCCTTCTGCTTTCTAGGAAGTGTTACTCTGATAAAGTTTTGGGACGAAGCAGTGATTCCCATGAGCCCCAGAAAGAAACAGGAACAGACTCCTAGTGACAGGGCAGTTGTGGAGCAAGGTGGAGAGATGAGGCAGTGCTACTGCACACAGGAGCTGCAGAGCATTGTGTAGAGATGGGACAAGAGTTGCCAACCACTACTGCATGTAAGGGCTCCAACTCCCTCCAAGTAGCCCATCATCCTCCCATTTATTTACTCATTTGTTTGCCTTAAGGGGGGGAACAGGTGTACATTAATTCATCACCAGAGTTTAAATTAAATCATTTTACTTCTAAATGAGTCACTAATTTGCAGGAGTATTTAATTAGAGCCTCTTTGCACTCAGGTGCTGTATTAGTTCTGACTTTCTCACCTGTTTGCCCTCTTAAGAGGCTGATGATGATTAGGCCATTTCTGCACATACTCATTGCACATCAAAGCTCTTAACCCTAATGGCAACACCTTGATGCTCCTCCTCCATTCTGGGGGCTCTTGGCAGCCTTGTCCTCCCCCAGGAAATAACCCTTTCCTCTGCTGTGGCAGGACACAGACTTGCTGTGCAAAGCACTCTGCACCCACAGCTGGGTCAGCCCTGCAGCCTTTTGGCAGTGATTTGCAGCATAGATTGAGTGTGAACAACTGCACTGAGCTCTGCTTAGCTCTGCTGCAGGGGTAGGACTCCAGCACCCACCTGTGCCCAAAGAGAGTGTTCACAGAGTGCAATTACAGCTGGTGCTTTCTTGAGTTGCTTCTTCGCAGCAAGAAGATGCTCACTGATACTGTCAGAGCCAGTCTCAGCTTCACCACCAGCTACTTGTGGAGCTGAGACTGCATGGGCTGTCTCATAGGCATTGGTGGGTCCATATTTTCCTTGTTAATTTGTCTGTTTGTGTTTCTCCTTCAGTGTGCTCCATATTGATCAGACTGATGTCAAAACCCTTCTTACTTATCTCTGCTCCAAACCATAAAGTACTTTCATATTATATTCCTCTTATTTTTTCATGTCTTTGATCATTTCTGCATTCCCCTTGTGCAGTTCAGGCCCACCATGGGTGGGCAGGAGTCTTCCCTGCCACGCAGCTGAGAGTGGGGAGGATCCAACAACCTGATCCCCTGAGCAGCCTATTCTGAAAGCAAAACACAGGTGCCTGAATGAAATAAAGTGCCCTAGAAACCTCTGTGCTGTGCTGAGATGTCTCTCTGCCTGGGCAGAGGAGAGTGCAAGGCCTGTGGCAGCCAGGCCACTGGGTTTGCAGCCAGAAGTGGTGCTTGCAGCCTCCACTCCCACCATCCTGGCTGCAGCATCTCTGAGCACAGTGGCTGCTTGCTTATTACACTGATAATAGAAAATTACAGGTTTTCTGTAGGTAGTGTCTATTTACATCCTACATTTCCTAAACTACCTATTAGCATCTCTGTGATGTCACATCCTCCTGTGAGTTTTCATCAGTACTGGCTCCTCTACCTGCAGGCAGCCTGGGCCACACCTGGGGACAGACAGCTGCCACCTGGCACAGCACTGGAGCACAGGGGACAGTCAATGGGTGTCACTTTTTGCACAGCTGGTGGTTGGTGGAACTGAGCAGAGGGACTGAGAGCTGTTCATGTAAGCCTAGTCAGGGAGCTGTGCTTCCCACCTCAGCCTTTTGCTCACAGCTGATCCAGAGCTGACAGACAGGCATTTCACTGCCTGAAAAACCTTCTGACGCTGCTCTGCCAAGCGATGAACGCAGATGCCTGCAGGGAGCACAGTGTGCAGTGCTTCCTTTTGCCTATTTCCCCAGTGTTTTTGTCTGTGGGCCAGCAAAGTTTCAGAGACCCTGAGCTGGAGCAAGATTTTAAGAAGGTTTTGACAGTGTTGCTAATCTGGGGGAAAAGGGGATTCATGGAATGACTGATTTCTGCTGTAGCTGCTTGCCCTCAGCTTTCCCAGGGCTGCCTTGTGCAGAGTAAATCCCTGCATGAGGCAGTTGTCTTACCTGTGTGTCTCATGTGTCTCTCAGACAACAAGACCATCCCATCTCTGAGGGATGCTCTACGGATGGTTGTTGTTCACCTTGCCTTGTGGATGGACTGAGACAATAGAGAAGGCTTTGGGAAGAGGCTGCCTGGCCATGGAGCAGCCATGGACTGGGTGCACCAGCATATGGCTCATGGAGGAAGCACTGGGTGTGCAAGGGCAGGTGGGAGTGGGATGTGTGCCTTTCAGACTGTTGCATAGTGTGCAGGCCAAGATTTATAACCACATCTCTTCTCCAGGTTTATAGTTTCTTGTCACTCTATTAACTCTAATGAGAGGTGTTTACATTGCATAAGTAGCTGGAGCAGTGGATAGTAACCTATTAATTTTCATGACTATTCCCTGGCAAAAGCTCATAGGCTGTCTTGGAGGACACATACCAAAGGCTCCTGGGGCACAAGACACCCAGGGCTTGCTATATTTCAAGAGACTGCAGTTCAACAGCTAATAAAACTGCTAGGTCAAGATCTGCACAGTCAGGTCTTTCAGGAATCCTGGCAGAAGACCAAATTTCTGCTGATGGGTAGCTCCAGAGGAAAGGATGAGCACACAGCAGAAGAGATGAAGGCTCATCTGCAGCAGGCTGCCCCTGTGAGGAACTGCTTTGCCTGCAGATCGTGGGATGCACGTCCCACTGGAAAATGTTTTTTGGTGTGGTCTGGCTTGACGCTACTGCCGTGGACACCCATGGAAGCTGTGTCTGGCCTGGAGAGAGGTGTGCAGGGCAATGCAGATTTCCTGACTGAAACCCCTGTGCTGCAGCCCCCCAGTGTGCTGTAACCACTACTAATTCCTTCCTTCTTTTTCTCGCCACAGTCCATTGATCCTGGGCAGCAGTTCACCTGGGAGAACTCCAACCTGGAAGTGAATAAACCGAAAAACCGCTATGCAAACGTGATAGCCTATGACCACTCGCGTGTCATCCTGACTTCCATTGATGGTAAGAGTAACTGGAGTGGATACCCCATCCAGCAAGGAGATTGACTGTAGCAAGGAGACCCATCTTTTTCTGTGTTCTAAGCTGAGCAGGGACAAACACCATCCATCAGTGTGATCAAATGTGTGTTCTAGCTGGCCAGAAGAGACACTTCCCCAGTGTCCTCAGAGAAGTGTGTTCTGTGTGGTTACTTCTTAGTACTGCTGGCAGCAAACATGTTTGTCCCAGCAGCCTCCTTTCCCACTGTCCTCTCTGACTGCAGCTGCCTTCCTTGGTACATGGTGAAATATGGCACTAGTAGTGCCACTGCTACCCTCTGTCCCAACACAATTGTAGGGTCAGTATCTTTCTCTGGGACTTGTCAGTATATGGTCCCAACTAAGTGCCCAGAGCAGTACACTATGAGTGGTGCTCCTTCCTCTGGGACATCAGACTCCACACATCCCTGTCCTCCATGGGAGCATTAGACCCTCATGTCCATAGCACTGACCCTGTGGCTCCAAGAACCAGCCCCAGATCCCTGGAGTTAGGACTAATACATGTTTCTAGTCCTCTTGTACACAGAGGAGCTAGAGCCCAGGCTCACCCATTCCCCTTGTTTTATAAATCAGCACCCAACTCTGCACACCCAGATCTGAGCCCACTGGTGAAGGATGAGGAAGATACAGCTAATTCAAATGCACCCCTTCTTGGGGAAGGAACTGTGGCCTGGCTTTGCACACAGGTGGCCCTACAGTCACTAGCATCCTTTTTTGGGAGATGGAAAAGCCCTTTCTAATGGTAATACGCTATTAATCCTCTTCAAGAAGAGGAGAGGGGGCCAACCTGTCCCTCACAGCAAGCCCTGTTAAGCAGCAGCAGCAGCTATGTGAAAATCTGGCATGTCTGCTCATGGGCAAGCCCTTGCAGGCAGCTGTGGGGTGAGCACGTGGGGGAATCCCTGTTTTCCAGCCTGACTCAGTTGCTGTAAGTAAAGAGCACTTCCCGGGAACTGTTCCCGAAGCACTCTGCCAGGTCCGTGCCGCCCATGCCAAGGGAGTGAAGCACTGCACTCCAGCTGCTGCCACTCCCCCAGAGCTGCCAGCACATTGTGTCTGCTGGAGACTGCTGAGACCTGTAGAATAGACCTGTAGAATTTTCCCCAGGACAAAAGGATGAGGGGTGACCCCCAGCTTTATTTCCTTCCTCTAGTGAAATGCAGATGCTCTCTCCTAGGGAGACAATGAGATTCCTGCTGCTTTCTCTCCCTGCAGCCTGGGCAGCCCATGCTGAGCAGGGTTTGAAAACAGCCTCAGGCCTCTGCTTTGCCGAATTTATTTTAGTAACTGTGTTTGCATTTTAAAGGCCTTTACGAAAAATTCCTTTCCTTAAAGTGGAGGAGGCCTCGTGGGGGCTGGAGCAGCCCCTGCCAGCAGGCAGCAGAGGGGGTCTCACACTGAAGGGTTTCAACGGTGTTGGAAGATCTCTGGCTCCTCGGGGATAGTTGTCCCTGCAGGAAGGATGGGAGGACATCCCTGCTTGACATCCCTTGCTAACAGAGACAAGCTAATAAAGGAGCCTCATTTTTAAAAGGTGCTGTAGGACCATAACAAATTGCTGGTGAATTTAAGACAATTATTTCAGTCAGTTGCTTGGGGCCGAATGAGCTCCTTAATATTCCTGCCTGTGAATTTTCCTTTGTGTGCGTGTGGCAGCTGTCTCTCTGCTTTGGTGTTGCCTGCTTGTTGCATTAATGTGGGAGTTACAAAGGGTTCTTCTTTTCTCAGGCACCATCCCTGTCCTTTGCAGGATTCCTGGGAGAGATCCTGACATCACCCCGTAAAGGAGACTTGTCAAGAGCCTTGTGAACAAGCCAGCCTCTTCTGCCTGCAGGGCCCAGCAGAGCAGTAGGTACAGGGTTGTGGGCTTACCCCAGTAACTCTTGCCCTCTTTCTCCTTTTCAGGAGTCCCAGGCAGTGATTATATCAATGCCAATTACATTGATGGGTATCGGAAGCAGAACGCCTACATCGCCACACAGGGACCGCTGCCAGAAACCCTCAGCGACTTCTGGAGGATGGTGTGGGAACAGAAAACAGCAACTATAGTCATGATGACCAGGCTGGAGGAGAAGTCCAGGGTATAGTGTGTGCTTTCTCTCTTTTCTGGAGCCGTTGGGGAGCAGAAAAGAGGAATGGGAGCACTTCACAGCATAAGGGCACCTAGGGAGAGGCAGTTCCAGTGATGTGGCTCACGGCTTCATGCCGCCCAGCAACAAATGCCTTGTAAGCATATCCCTGTGAGGCAAAAGGGTGGCACAACCTCCTGTTGCTGGCCTGCTCATTTACCTCTGTTCTGCTTGCATGTCTGCAAGTGCACCCATCCTGTCCTGCCCACATCACTCTCATTAAAGGGGGAAAGGAAAGCTCTGAGATGGGGAGTGTGGACCATCCCAGAAGCTGAGAAGCTGCAATAGTTGTGGGGTACTGGCAGCCTGACAGGGACCTGGCATTTCTGGCAATGCATAGGAATGGCTGACAGGGTCTCATTGCAGTAACAAGACTAATTTGTGCCTTGTCCAATGACAACATGTATAAATGATCACCTTACACTGCCAGGATTAGATATTCTGATGTAATAAATGCAAAGCTGCCTGCAGACCATGGGGAAGGCATGGGTTGGAGAAGGAGTGGGAGCCCTCACTGCAGATGATACAGTTTTCATGACAGAGTTCATACTCAGCCCCTGAAGCAAGAGTTTGTAAGCTGTGACCAAGTGCTCCTGTGCCCAGATGCACCCTTTGGGCAAAGCCTGCCCAAGGAGGAGGAAGCTTCTGCCTCTCATGATTCAGTTTGCTCCTAAAAGTAAAATTTGTGTGGTGAACGTTTGTACTAGCAGAATATTTTAGTGTTGCCATGCCAACAGCAGAAGGGGCTTGTGCACTCAAGCTGTGAAGCACTGATTATTTTTAGCCCAATAAGCTCATTCTTGAGAAGCAGAAACGGTCAGGTTTGGGTTTAGCTAAAACTTCTGCCCACATGCTCTCCCTCCTTTTCAAAGCTTTAGCACTTTAGCACTTAGAAGGGGTGTTCCAGCCCACCCTGACTGTGAGGAAGTGGCTGAAACCACCAAATCACCATGGCAAAACAGATCTGCTTTTCCTAATGTACAAAAAACAGGCATTGTTGATGGCTTTCCTGGGCTCTTCAAATGCCCTACAGCCTGCAGGGAAAAAGCATTCCTTTGGGATGAGCTGTCTCTAGAGATCCAACCCCAGTTTTGCACTGTGCTTCCTGCTGCAGAGCCCTGCCTGCTCTGCAATGGCCACTGTCACCCACACAGCCCAAGCAGGGAAATGATTCTGACCTGCCCTGTGGCTCACAGCTTGGCACACAGGCTAAGCAAAATCAGAAGCTTCTGATCAATTGCGCTCTGCAGCTGAGGGTTGTATGGGGACTTTTTTGTGCCTTCACATTTCAATGATGGAGCATGTATTTGAAGAACACAGAAAAGCCCTTCTGGGTTGCCAAATAAATCCATACCCGGAATCTTGACTCAACTTCTGGGCTTCTTAGTTAGGGCAAGGCACTCCAAGGTGCATGTTTCTTGAAGATAACAGGTTTTCTTTGACCCCAGAGGGACTTGTCTTTGCCTGAGATGTCTGTTCTGCTGAGCTGTGCATTATCTCCCCACAACACACCTCATCCTATCATTCTGCAGTATTGGTTTCTCTCCCAAACACAGTGTGTGTGGTCAGGCTTTTGGTGACATTGTGAATCCTTGCTATGGGCAAGAGGTGACCAGAGCCCTCACAGAATCTCAGGCAGCCTGCCTGATTGGGCACACTGCCCAGGGGTTCTAGGCTGACCTGACCAGACCCAGACCCCTGCATTCACTCCCTGACACTGCCTGCCCATGTCCTGCTGCCTCTTTGGCACATCCCCAGCACTAATGAGAAGTGGGCAGTTTTCTCTGGCACTGTGGGAGAGAGAGGCAGGTTGCCAGGAGAGTCAGTAGAGAAGCCTGGTTACTCCTGAGTTGAACCAGTGATCCACAGCAAGCACTTCCCTGGATGTGTTTGCTGTACCCTGTAGGTGTCTCAGGGCATTGTCTCACAGCAGGGTTCTGGTGAGGAGCTGCAGTGTGGACTTCCAGGAGATTATTTTCTCTGAGGTTTTTTTGTTGTCTTTTTCAGCATCTTCCAAGGCAAGACAGCTTTTAGCCACCTTCCTGCTCTGCTTTTCCTCATGCCCTTCTGGTGATGGCTAGAGCTCTCTTGGAACACACCTTTTTGGGACTAGTGAAGATCCTAATCCCAGTCATTCCCCATTGCTCCAAACTTTTAGCATGAGTCACTGCTTTGCGGTTCATTCCACTCCAGAGCCTTCAAACTTCATCTGATATAACCTCTTGGGTCCCTGCAGCATTGCTGCCTGCTGATGCTCATGCTGCTGTGGGACAACACTGCTCCAGGCAGTCACATGGCATCACAGCATTACCCAAGGGTGACCTTGCTTGAAAGTCCCCTTGCCCAGGGGCTTTGGCGCAAGCTCAGGACTGTCTCTCCAGCTGCAGAGCCTGGGGTGGGTAGCAAGGCCTCATGGCGAGCTGCCCAGTGCAGAGCAGGCTCTGCTGCCTTTCCAGGCGAGCTCCCCAGGTCACCCTCGGCAGTGCTGTGATAAGCCAGCCGGGACCAGCAGCAGCTTGGCAGCCCTGTGGGGGTGACACTGCTTTAAAGGGTTCCTGAGCTGCAGAGGGAAAAAAAAATCTTTAAAGAGCATCAGCTTTTATGGTCTGCAATTTCAGCTGGCTTGATGGTCTAAATCATCCTCCCTTTTTCATGTTTTCACAAAGTAAGAAGCACATAAAGGATAGAAATGGCTGGATTGTGCAATTTAGCTGCCTTCAAAGCTTTACAATCAGTTTCAGAATCATTTGGTGGCAGTTCAGAAACACACATTGTAGATTAGCTTTCCCGAAGCTGCGAGCATGGTGAGTCCCTGCTGGGCTGTGTTGCCAGGAGAGAGGTATTAAAGCAGGATTCCTCCTACCCTGGGCTATCCCCAAGAGCCTGGCAGAGTGAGGTCTCCCAGAGCAGTGCTGTGGCTTGTTCTGTTCCAGCCCAGAGCACCAAGCTGCAGTCTCTGGGGTGTGATCTCCCCTGGCATTTCATGTCCCCAGGAAGGGGTGTGAAGAGGCTGATACTCAAGGGCCCTGGGGAAGAGAAGCCTGGCAGCCACATCATGCTCCAGCCCTCTTGCTGACAGCAGTGCCATCTGGAGCTTGTGAGCAGGGCTGGGAGCAGAGCACAGCTCTCAAGCTGAAGAGAGGTACCTTGGCTGCTCTTGGGCTCAGGGCATCAAAGGGGAAGGACAGGAGCCACTCAGCAAAGCTGCAATAAATGGCTGTTCAGGACATTACTGTGCTCCTTAAGTTAATGAGAAACAAGCACTGCCAGAAGAAAACATCTCTTATCTGCTTTAGTGCCACAGTGCATCGGCTTCAGCATAAAATTTACAGAGCTTGAAAATGGGGCATAAACATTATGGGTAAATTTGGCAGAAAATGTGACTGACTCTTATCTGGTCATGAATAAATAATTTTCAATTACCAGCCCAGGCATTGCTATTATCCCACACAGGAAACTCCTCTGAAGTTTGTTTTGTGCTCGACTACACAGCCCTGCAGCGTGTGGGTGGCAGGAGGGGACTGCTGTCCCTGAGGTGTAGGCTCAGGCACAGGCTGTGCTGTTCCCCTGAAATATCCCCTGCAAACTACAGCAAGCAGCTGTCCCCAGCATTTGCAGGATGCCATGGTGCTCTCCTCTCCCTTAGAGAGGGTCACATCATCCCCAAACCAGGCAAGACAAACTCAGGCCTCATGGAGACAGCCTGCAGCTGCCACCCACTCATGAGTATGGGATCAGTTTAGTTGTGAAATAACATTTGTGACCTCCAAGTTGCTGGTGCTGCAGCCAGTCAGCATCAAATACTCTGTGCCAAGCGAGGAAGAGGAATCCTGAGATTGTTGCAAGGCCTGCCATGTAGTCACAGATTCAAGGCAGCACAGCAGGAAAGCCTGGGCAGGAGGCAGCAGAGCTTGCTCTTCTTGCACAGGCACCTGCAGTACCCCATTAGGCAGCCTTGCTCCAGGTACTTCTGCCAGGGCAGACCTTACTGAGAGGAGAACCCAAAAAGCAGAGAGTGGTGCATCTGTCTGACTCCAGCTTGCTGCACTCCAGAGCCAGAGTGCAGGATGAGGGCTCTTAGCTCTCACAAACCCCACCCAGTTGCAAGTGGTTTCAATTAAAAGGCAGAACTTCATTGATTCCTAATTAAGCTTATTGTTTCTCTTCCCACACATTCCCCTGTAAACACGTTCTGCTAATAATTAAGTTTACTATTCCTTGACAAGCACAGATGATCTTCCATTCACTCCTCTCTCCTAGGGTGGAAAACTGTTTTCGGTGTGGTGCACATGGGTGGGAATGAAGTCTTCCTCCTGTCAGCCAGGCACTGTGGCTCTGTAGGGTGGGGCAGCCAGGTACCAAATGAAACAGGGATGCTTAGAGTACCAATTAAATAAGGAGCTTGGAGCTTCACAGAAAAAAAAAACCTGGTGGAGTAGTTTACAAACACTGAGCTGTGAAGAGGAGGAGGAGGAGAGCAGCAGCATGTGAGCAGGGAGGAATGTGAAGGGAGCAGAGAGATGGGCCCCTGGGGATGTGTTTGGCTGTCTGCCAAGTGGGATGCAACAAAAGCTGTGACCAATAGCTAAAAGCACTCTGGCTCCAGAGTTGGAAGGGGGTGATAAGGATGATGCAGGGCAGGAGATTTCTAGGGAGCAGCAGTGTTTTCATGATGGGACAGTCCTGCCTGCGGGAAGGGGCTGAAGGGATAGTTTGGACACAGTCTGTGTCTTCTTGCAGAGGGAGAATAAGATGTGTCTGTGTCTGAGCTGGCATCTGTTCCATGCAGAGCCATTTTGAAACACTTGGGAGATACAGATTTTCAGGGATGTGCCACCTGCCACAGGGGCAGGTTGGTGTTACTGGGTGATGCTCAGTGCACTCAAGCCTACAGCAGTGCAGAGAGGGTGGTTACAGCATCCAGGCTGGAGCCCTGGCATGGGCTGTGTCCCACCTGTCTTCAGGGTGGTTTGCTGCACAAGCCATGCTGGCAGGGGCACCCTGGGGACTATGGATGTTATGGAAAGGTAGTGCCTGTTGTTGAGTTGCTGTGTACTGTGCTGGATTCAGCTCTGTCCTGCCACAGCTGTGAGTCATGGACACCAGGCTGGCATAGCTGGGTGATACAGGCTGCATCTCATTCACCTTAGCTGCCCTTTGACTAGAGCTGTGCCCACAGAAACCACCATTTCCTCTTCCCTGCTGCTCTAGCTCTTTTCCCATCAACACATAGCTGCTAACCTTCTCTTCATCCAGGTGGAGCTCAAGCAGGGAGTTGCTCAAGTAAAGCCCCAAAGATGCCCATCTCACTGAACAGGAGACAGAGAAGAGCTACAGCAGGCACAAATCACTGCTAGAAATTGATGTTTACTGTCTTGGTATCTGGTGTTGCTCTTGCTGCTCTGTCTGGTGGTCTGGCCCACTTTGCCACTTCCACTCATAGCTGCAGGTGAAAAAGAAAATCCCTCTTTCGATGGGTCATTGAGATCAGCTCAGTTGGTCAGAGCACGGTGCTAATAACACCAAGATTGTGGGTTCAATTCCCATATGGGCCATTCACTTGAGAGTTGGACCTGAAATCCTTGTGGGTCCCTTTAACTCAGAATATTCTTGTGATTCTGAGACTTATGGAAAGGGGTCCAGGGGGTGCTGTCTTTTTGCCTTTCCTTTTGGGACACTCTGGGGAAGGAAATCTGGATTTTAGAGGCCCTCCCTGCACAATGACTAATTTCTATCTTTACCCTTTGAAGGGCAGAGCCCTGTTCCTCATCCCAGATGCCGCAGCCAGCAGCTGACCCATTCTCTTCACCTCCCTGCAGGTAAAGTGTGACCAGTACTGGCCGAGCCGGGGTATGGAAACCTATGGGATGATCCAGGTGGCCCTGGTGGATACAGTTGAGCTGGCGACCTACACCGTTCGCACCTTTGCGCTGTACAAGGTATGGGGCTGGCTGGGCTGCTGCTGCTTCACATATTGCAGAGATGCTTCCCAATGCTGCAGGGTGCTCCCTGGTCCACAGGCAGTGGCCTCTGGCTGTACCTGGCTTGGCCAAGCATGTGGCCAGTACACCCATGAGCCGTGTCTCACTGATGGGCTGCAGTAGGAGATCAGGTGCTCTTTGTGCCTCTGGCCACCACTGGACTCTGGCCAGGATACTTGATGCTCTCCTTTGTGTTTTCTGTGACGGGCCCCAGAGCAGGGCTGTTCTTGCCTCTGGTGTGTGTACAGGTAGCAGCTGTCCTCCCATTAGAGGAACAACATGGGAAGCAGTGAATTTTTATCACTCCTGTCACTAATAATGCACATGGAAGGGCTATTTCTGATGTGAGTACAAACCCTTCTCTCCTGCCTGCTGCATTCCTCATTAGTGTTTGGAAATCCATGGGGGCAGTGCGAGCAGCAGCATGTCAATGCAGACAGGCTTTGCAGCGAGCTGCTTCTGTGCGCGACTGAGTCTGGGCCAGGAGCCCAGGGCTCGGGGGGGACACACTCATGCCCCAGGAAGGCTCCAGCAATCACCCAGACAGTCCTACCACTTGCTACATAGATCACTGAGCCAAGCCCAGAGAGGAGCAGGGCAGTCTGCAGACACAGGCTGACCACCCAGCCCAGGGACACCATGATGCAGAGGAGCAGGGAGGGAACTGGCTGCTGTAGCCCTTCCATGCACAGTGCCCATTTTCCCTGAATGTGCAGTGAGTATGCAGGTAGTGAACCTGTGCTCTGCAGAAAAGAGTCTTTTACCTTCCCTGCTCCACTCCTGCAGAGTTGCTCTGTTGTCTGTAAAACTTATTTTCTACAGACCAGCTGTATATATAGGAGCTTTGGAACAAACCTGCATTTTTCCTGCAGATTTTCACTGGTGAAAGCCCAGTACCTGCACCATCACACAGAGCTTTGCGTGCCTGTTGCTGTTGTTGGCCCATCAGCAGGTTCCTGCACTGGGATGAAACTGTTCTCATGCAAAACAACTCCTCTTTGTCTTCAACAGAATGGCTCCAATGAGAAGACAGAGCTGCGACAGTTCCAGTTCATGGCTTGGCCCGATCACGGGGTCCCAGAATACCCCACCCCGATCCTCACTTTCCTGCGGCGCGTCAAGGCCTGTAACCCAACAGATGCTGGGCCCATGGTTGTGCATTGCAGGTAGGACTGTGTGTTTGGTTTCTGGCTGCAGGAGCTTTAACCTGTCTGAAAGTGGAGTCTCCCCTTCTTGTGGGAAAGATTTCAGGTAGCATAACCTGCACTGCATGCTTGGGCTGGCAGCAGAACAAGCCCAGCAGTGGTAATGCAGTGGTGGCATTTCTATTGCTGGATCAGATTAAACAGCACTGCTGTATGGAGAGCCTCAAAAACACATTTTGTAAATGGCAAGTGCCATTTAACAATTAAATTATCTGTGCCCAGCATAAGTGGGTGGTACCTTGAGAGGCACATCACTGACAGAAATGGATGCAGTGACCTCTACCAACATTCATATGCAGTATTTACAGCAGCACTCTTTCACAGGGTAGAAAGGCAAGTCTTAAAGCAAAATACTAGTCTGCTAAGGCTCAGCATCTTACCCAGCCAAGATTTATTTGTACCAGCCGAGAGGGGACTGTTACTGAACAAACCACTCTATCATTGCTGTTCCAGCCTTACCAGTGCTGTTTAATGCTCTTCTTTCATGCTCTGTTTCAGATGGTAGTGGAGTATAATTAACACACAAACAAGCTGTATTAAAGCCCTGTTAGGGATATGACTTGTACCATAAATGAGGGAATGCCTAGCTCCCTATCTCTGTGTTTACACGTCACAACAGTGTGTCTGTTTTCAGGATGCTCTCAGAGTGAGTAGCATTAGGTTTGCACATGCCCTTCCAAGAGTTGTGGAGAGGCATTTGGTGTTTGAGCAGAGGGCTCAGCATAGTTGTACATGACCTCAGCTTTCTGCTTCCCTTCTCAGGCTGGCTGTACTAGTTTTATGGGTGAGGAAACAGTGACCCAGGTTAGGGGACAAGCAGGCTGGAAATTATGGACTTCACTGGTGTTAGGGCCCAGCCTGCTCTCCATGTCTTCAGACTTCACACACACGTGCACTGTCACTGTCCTGTCCGTTAAACACATTTCTCCTTCCCTTGTGGAGGGGCTGCCACCCACGACAGGGGTCAGCAGGGTTGACACCATGTCCTTGCCACTCCAGCAGTGAAAGGGGGACAGCAGAAAGGAGGAGAGGAGCCTCTCACATTCTCCAGTGATTCTCTCCCTCGCTCCTCCAGTTGCTTCTTGTTTGGAACTCCACTCATAGGGAGCAGCCTTTACTCCCCTTTTGTGTGCCCTAAGTCCAAGTGATCTCTTAAGCACTGTTAGAGCTCATGTGACATCTGTAGGAGACTGTGTCATCTCAGACCGTGTGCTGTGCTCCTGCAGTGCTGGCGTGGGCCGAACCGGCTGCTTCATTGTCATTGATGCCATGCTGGAGCGGATGAAGCACGAGAAGACGGTGGACATCTACGGCCACGTGACATGCATGCGCTCCCAGCGCAACTACATGGTGCAGACAGAGGACCAGTACATCTTCATCCACGAGGCCTTGCTGGAGGCCGCCACGTCTGGCAATACCGAGGTGCCCGCACGCAACCTCTTAGCCCACATCCAGAAGCTGTCCCAGGTGCCACCAGGCGAGAGCGTTACTTTAATGGAGCTGGAATTCAAGGTTGGTGGCAGAGCCCCAGCACCCTACTTCTCTAGTGCCCTGTCTGCCCACAGAGCTCCACAGGCTGCTTATCCAGGTGTTGGGAGAGGCAGGCTATGGATCATTACAGACAGTTATTCTTTTGTGTGTTTCTAAAGCAGGTAGGCAGTGATTTAAAATACATTTGAATTGTAAAGCTTGTGTCAGCCACGGTCCCCCCTGGATTGGCAGCTTCTGGGGAGGAGATAAAAGGCAGATGGATGTGCAGTTCCCAGCAGCACATTCTGCTCTAGGTTCACTGTGTGGCAGGAGCTGCATCTGAAATCAGATGCAGATCGTGTTAGTGATAATTGATGTTACTGTGAACAACTTGTCTGGAAACAGCTTCAATTTAAATATGTGAGATATTTCTGGTCTCATTTCTTCAATGCTGAGCTCTGTAATCTTTAAACCACCTCAACACCAAGCCTCACTGTCTAGAATTGGTGAAGGCAGTGTTTTAAGGTACACCATTTTTAAGAAGCCAAGCCCACCTTTTTCTGCCTGTATCTGTGTATGGCAACTGCAGATATTTATTACAGCCTTGGAGCTGGAAGTGAGCTCTGTTAAGTGCCCATATTCTCAGATGAGGTGCCTTAGTCCAGTGATCTCTTGCAGGGAATATAGCTCATGCAGGGAGGCAGCAGACCATGCAGGTTGTGAAATGAACTGCAGCAGTACAGCTTCACCCTGGGGATTCCCTTCAAGTGACAAAGGAGCAGGAGAGTCAAAATACTGGCTTTCCATGTAAACTGGAAATAGTTGAGAAACTCTGTCCTGTGGTTATCAGAGCTGCTCATATCCTGGGGTTGGGACAGTAAAACTCACTGCCTGAATGTCTCATGGTGACACCTGCCCTGAGAAACTCCTGGAGAGACACAGAATTGTGTTCAACTCAAGCAGTTCTATTGTAAGACAAAATTTTATTTTCCTTTCATTTCTCCAAGGATCTCTTCAGAACAGTAACAAAACTACCCCTGTCTGTGCCCTGGCAGTGTCCACTGTATGGGAAACCCTGGGGAGCAGGATACGGGACGGCCTCACATGGCTGCACTTCTCCCCAGAGAGCAACCCTGTCCCTCTGCAGAGAGCCTCTGCTGAGGTCCATCTGCCACTCATAGAGAGAAGGGTGTTTCTGAAGATGCTGGAGACAGTATTTTGAGGAAGGAAAACAAACAAAAACCCCAAAAAACCCAAAACAAACAAAAAAATTAAGCTGGCAGGGGGAAGAGTGACTTCTGTTTGAATCTAAGTAACACATTTACCATGACTCCAGTTTACGGGACTCATAGAGAGCCATAAAATGTCTCACAGTAACCCAAAATAGATCTTCTTTACCTAAAACTGTCACAATTCTCACATTTTCTTGGGTTCTTCTGGGGTGAGAAGTAAATAGCAAGACATTGTTGGAAGAGGAAAAGCTTTGCTTCCCTGCCGCCACCAAGCATACATCCCTGGCTCAGCAAGGTTCAAAGCTTCGTGACTCTGTGTGTATCAGAGAACTGCTGTGGGTCTCCACTCCACTACATGACTGCTACCAGGGTCCTGATTCTGCCCCCAGACTGCTGCACCACCAGCAGGGATCTGATGTGTCTCCTCCTCTTTCAGAATCTGGCCAATTCTAAAGCACATACCTCACGTTTCATCAGTGCCAACCTCCCGTGCAACAAATTCAAGAACCGCCTTGTGAACATCATGCCGTATGAGCTGACGAGAGTCTGCCTGCAGCCCATCCGGGGTGTCGAGGGCTCTGACTACATCAATGCCAGCTTCATAGATGGCTACAGGTAAGGATTACCTTGGGTGGATGTGCCAGCCTGTCCTGCCTGCTTGGAAACCTAGGCAGAGCTGCCTTCTCTTTCCTGAGGACTGGTCCTGACTGCCTGAGGTGGGCTGGGGACCACTCTGTTGCATTTTATCTATTTCCATCTTCTCAGACACTGCAGTGTGTGTAGTTGCAATATGTGAAGACTGCCTGTGAGTGAGCACTGCCAGGCTGGCTTATGTTGCTGTAGACAGATGCCCACATGGCTGGAGCGGCAGGCTGTGTTGGCTCCTGGGAAGGTTTTACAAGATATTCTGGTAGGCATCCCTTGGCTTGTGTTTTATATCTACAGTACCTAACTCCCCACTGTAGCAACTGGAGTTAGAAGTGTGCTTCCACTGAGTGGCTGATCCAGCAGCTCAAGGCTTGTTCCACGTTCCATGTCTTGATTTTGGGAGGAGTCTGAATCCTCAGGTAGGGCTGGCGCTGGACACTGGGAAGCCCATCACCAGGTTCATCTCTCCAGAACACAGTTTAGAAAGCACAAATTAAGATGTAGTAGGGCAGTAATGCTTAAGTTTTCTGTATCTGTCTGCTGATACCTCATTCTCATATGCTAAATGCAAGGAGAGAGGAACAGCCCAGTGGCCACATCCCCTTCCCAACCAACCCCTAGACAATAAACCAAACCAAATCACAATGATACACATAAAAGGCTTGTTCCTGTCATCTCTCTCTGCACCATCACAGTAGGGTCATCCCTCATGTGCACCATCCTCAGTGCTGAAGTGGGGGATGCAATGACAGATGTGGCACGTCCCTTACAGCTTGGCTTTGTGCCCCTGCCTCTTTTGGTCTGGTAACCTCCCAGAAGCAAAAGGCACTGCCAAAGGGAACAGATGTGGGTGCAGCCAGGCCAGCAGCTCTGTGCCTCGTCACTGCTCCAGCAGCTGAGCCCAGCAAGAGTTCCCAGGGAGAAGAGCTCTGTGGGGATAAGAGTGTGGATAAGGAGCAAAAGGGGAGCATACCAACACAGGAAAACCAAAGCAAGCTAAGCTCCCTCAGGGTGGAACAGAGTATCAGGGAAGGATGAAGGGGCTGGAGAAGAGCTGTCACAGAGCAGAGGGAGCCTCCACTCCCTCCTGCCTGTGTGGCACAGAGCCATCCACCACCAGTCATTAAGGTGGCTCCCTGGCTGCAGTCTGAGTCTGACAGATGGACTGCAGCCACTATCCTGATTCCAGAGCTGGTGGAGAGCAACACTGGCTTTGCCTCTTGGTGATGCTACAGAGGGAAATGGTGAAGGCTGCCGGCACAACAGGTGGTACCATTTCATGTGCTACTTACCCCATCCCTAAGTTCTGTTATCTCTTCCCATCCTTTCCTTTGAAACAGCATTCTTCTTGTTATCTAAAGTAATCGGTTGGCCCAAGGTCCTGCAGATATCACTGATGCTGCATCTTTATTAGCTTTTCCACTTCGTTCTGCATCCCTGTTCCATGTTTTTTACGATGTGTTATAAATCCACCTTGAAGCAGCCCCTGTCTGCATCCCGCACTTTACAGCTGCCCTGCAGCACGTTCATTAATTTTAGCACCATTAAAAATAGCACCAGTAGAGGGATGAAGGCAGGATGGAGGAAGCCGGCCCTGGTCCCGCGGGCTCCAGCGCCCCACAGTGGTGGAGCCAGCCCGGGCTCTGCTGTGCCGGGCTGGGAGCTCAGAGAGCCACAATACCAGCATGGCAGAACTGAGTCCAAAACACCAAGGGGCCTTTCTTCAGGGACCAGTCTGGGGCAGGCCACAGGGAAAATTAGGGGAGGTGGTCTGGTTGGCAGTGGAACCAAGAACAAATTCTGAAGCTTTAGAAAAGCAGACAGAACTGTATTAATGGTTTCCACACTGCCCTTGTTACTGTCCGGAGTGTATAATCCAGGTGCTCTGTGTTTTCCCATGCAGTGGGAGGGACAGTGGGTAATGCAGAGGGTAAAAGTGCAGGAACACAGGGGTGCTGCTGGGATCATCCCCAAACACAGTCTCTCTTTCCAATCTGGGTGGGTGCTGGCAGCCTGCTAGTGGAGGCCTGGGTGCCAAGAGGGCTCTCAGTGCAACAGCAGCACTGGAGACATCCAGCAGCAAGAGGCTGGGCTGGGGATGCCATTACCCCAGCAAGGACTAAGAGCTTTTCTGGATCCTCTGTGTTGTGCTCCCCGTGTCTGTGGGGAGCACTTAGAAGTGCTGAACAGGCTCATCTTTTCCCAGAGCCCATGGCTCATCCTAGAGACCTGCCTCCTATAGCTGGATTGTCAGCCTTGCTCCCTGGTAGCATGGGGCTCTGCCTCCAGCTCACCCAGCCCACCAGCCCCAAGGAGCAGCTGCTGCCCATCTCTGAGGAGCTGCTCTGAGCACCATTATGTTTGTCACAGGCGGCAGAAGGCCTACATCGCCACGCAGGGACCACTGGCCGAGACCACAGAGGATTTCTGGCGGATGCTCTGGGAGCACGACTCCACCATTGTGGTGATGTTGACAAAGCTGCGTGAGATGGGCCGGGTATGAGTCCTGCTGTGGGGAGAAGGGGGCTATGAGGCTGCTGTCTGTGGGAACAAGCTCTTTGCTCACCCCAGCCTGGTTTTGGCACCACTTGCTCTGGGCAAGCTTCCCACTGTCTGGTGGCTGACCCTGTGGCCCCACAACCACACAGGCTCCCAGGGAGTGGGAGGGAGGAGCAGCAGCTTGTCAGTGCTAATGTCTTACCCTGCTCCTCATCCACAGGAGAAGTGCCATCAGTACTGGCCTGCAGAGCGCTCTGCCCGGTACCAGTACTTTGTGGTGGACCCCATGGCAGAGTACAACATGCCACAGTACATCCTCCGGGAGTTCAAGGTGACGGATGCCAGGGTGAGTGCACCTGCTGGCTCCCCAGCTTCTCTGCCTCTCATGCCTCTGCCCTACCCAGGCCAGTTAAGGGAGCATGCAACAGCTCCTGGAGCAACAGGAAAGCAAATGCTGCCTTGCACTGCAGGCAAAAAGGGCTGCTGCCCACCACCTACTGCTCCTCTCTCCACAGGTTCCTGCCCTGCCAGCTGTGTCAGCCCCATGAGCAGCTCAGGGATCCCTATCAGCACCAGACCCTGTCTTGCCTGCACTGTTCACTCAGGCGAGCATTTAACACAGGTCCCCCTGCACCTGGAGTTTGTGTGTGCAGCACCAGACCGGGCACAGGACCCTTGTGTTACAGTAAACATGGTCCTAGAGTGGATAGGTAGCTAGCTGGGCCCCAAACATTGACCCAATGGACCCTGTAGGGGCCCAAAGCCCTGCTCAGCTCAGCTACCCTGGGGTGAACATGGGATAACAAACACAGGTCCCAAACATGCAGCAAAAGATCTCCCTGGGCTCATCTGTGGCCTGTGCACCTTCTCACCTGGCCTGGTTCAGGGGGTCTGAGAGCAGGTCAGAGCACCGGTGCTGAGGGGAGTGAGATCAAGCCCTCACCAGTGGTTCACATGTAGCACTCCTCTCCCTGCAGGATGGCCAGTCACGGACAATCCGCCAGTTCCAGTTCACAGACTGGCCTGAGCAGGGAGTGCCAAAGACAGGAGAGGGTTTCATTGACTTCATTGGACAGGTGCACAAGACCAAGGAGCAGTTTGGGCAGGATGGGCCCATCACAGTGCACTGCAGGTAAGTGAGGACTGCAGCCTCTCTGCAGTGAGCAGGTCCCTGTGCTCCAGGAGCGGCTTGTACCACTCCTAGGAGCTCTGCAGAGCCTTTCTGGGGCTGGCAGGACTCATAACAGCCCCTCTTGCTCCCTGTGCAGTGCTGGGGTTGGGCGCACTGGTGTGTTCATCACACTCAGCATTGTGCTGGAGAGGATGCGCTACGAAGGTGTGGTGGACATGTTCCAGATGGTGAAGACCTTGCGGACGCAGCGGCCAGCCATGGTGCAGACAGAGGTGAGCTCACCTTCTATGTGTGGCAGTGGAGATCTGGAGAAGAGAGGGGCCTGATGTCTTTGGATGTTGGACCCTACAGCCCACTGTCCTTGTGTCCCCACTGCTCATGTTTCCCTCGTTGTTGCCTTGCAGGACCAGTACCAGCTGTGCTACAGAGCCGCATTGGAGTACCTTGGCAGCTTTGACCACTATGCAACGTAACAGTGCTTTCCTCCAGTCGCGGTGGGGATGTCAAGGAGTGGAGACAGGTCTCTCTGAGCCAGAGCCACCCATTCCTCAGTCCTGTACAGGTGGAGGTACTGCCCAGGCAGCAGACCTCCATGCCAACCAGTTTTGACCACGGCATTTAGGAACTTAGCCCCAGCGCCAAATGAGGGAATCCGACTCCAAAAGCATTTCCAGTCTCTGGCTGAATTTCTGCTCATGTGCATCTCTCACCCTCTCTCATGCCGACTGCATTTCACAGCAAGGCTTTAGGTGGGTGGAATGGGATCTTTTTTTTAAACATGTAAAATAGTTACTAGTGGTTTTTATAATCTTCTCTCTCTTTATTTTTTATTTTTTGCAAGTCTTAATGTTTTGCCCAAGCAGAACTGGACCCGCCAAACCTTTGGGAGTTGGGTTTTGTTTTCTTAATTTCCTTTTGCTTTTACATTTTTTTACTGCCCTGTGTTTATTTCAGCCCAGTCACTGCTGGTTCTGCCCATTTTAGTGCAGCTTCCATGGTAATTTGCAGCAGCTGGCTTGTGGTTCCTGCCCATCTCCATTCCCCATAGGCTTTTTAATCCTCTGTAGAATATGAAATTTCATGGAACTGGACCTAAGCTACCAATTATTTTTTTAGTCTTCTTCCCCCCACCATTATTTCCTTAGTAGGTTTGGGTTTGGGAGGGCATGTGGGGTCGCTGGAGAAGCGTCCCTTTGTCAGCTGGAAACCATTCAGTCCTATTACAATACGTGTTCAACCAATCCAGTGACCGTGTGTATTGGCAGATCCTGATATGACGTGAGTTGTCGTCGCCTTGTTTGTGAGAGACCCGAAATCCCGGGCTCCAGGAATTGGAACCTCTTTTTGTGTGTCTTGCTGGAAAGGGGCAGGAGTATTGAGGGGGTCCCTCAGTTCCCCAGGGAGGGAATGGAAAGAGCAAGAGAGCAAGACACGGCCCTTTGTGTTAATCCCACGGTTCTGTGCGTGCAAGCGCCATCCTGTCACCTCTCACCAGTGGAGTGCGTCAGAGCATTGACAAAGACAAGGAGCACAAGCCTAGGCAATCCACAGCAGAGCTGCACCAGCTCTCTTTGGAAGCAGGGTACTGCAGGGAAGGGGGGAAGGGGAGTACACATGGCTTCAGAGGTTGGGTGTATCTATAATTTCTGCTATCCTGCAAATGTTAAGAGTCACTAGAATATTGTACTTTCCGCTACTTCAGGATGTTCTAATGAACCAATGTGGCAAGACTACTGGACTTAATTTAATGGTACTATATATTAATACTCCTTATTATATCACGCTTGCACTAAAGATGGGGAGTGAGCAGCCCTCTTTTGAGTGCATTGAGTTATGAATAAAGGTGGTGGAAGGGTATCTAATTGTATTATCACATGTATTCCGAATGTTAAGAATCCAAGCTACGTTGAAATCAGCAATCCAGGGTTGGTAATGTTGGAGGACACATTCATTTTTACCTTGTGGATGCATAGTGCTGTAGGGGTCACTGTTGTATACAGTCTGTTTTCTATTTGTTAATAAAAAAAAATCTACAGCATCATTGCATAATTCTTGATGTTAATAAATTTGAATAATTGGGTTTCATACAAGCTGGCTTTCCTGTCTGTTTCTTCTGCAATAAGCCAAGGCCATAGACTCCTTTGGCAATTGGCACACTCCTCAGCCTGTGGCAGTTAATTTCTTTCCCACAGGTATCTCCCAGCCATGAGTGTGCCACACTTTCTGCAGGGACCCTATGCCTGGAGGGAGCTTGGAAACCTAAGATAATTCCTCTTGTGCATGTGTGTGCTCACCTCCTGCCTCTCTGCAGCTGCACAGGAGTGCACTGACTGGCTGGACTTGAAGGAAAGAGAGGGGTCAATGGTGATGGTTGCCAGCCTCCTGGGACGCTGCAGTAATGCTGTTCTCTAGCACTGAGCACAGTTGTGTATTCATGTGCTCAGTTATTCATGTTAGTGCTCAGCAGTAAAGCCATCACCTGGCCCTTGACTGCAGAGCAGCACCCAAGTTTGTTCAGGTGTGAAACCCCTGCCCAGGCTGGCAACCCTCCCTGCTCTGTGTGGACAGCCCAGTCCAGCCCTGCCTATGTGTGAATGGCAAAACACAAAGTGCCAGCTCCTGGAGAGATCAGCACCTACACACAGCACAGGTGTGTGAGGGAAAAGCCAGTGCAAGGGGCAGAACCACATGGATCAGGACCCTATGGCATCTCCATCCTTCCCAAGGGAGCCAAATCTGCCCTGGCCAGCATATCCACGATGGGTGGGAGTGCGTGGCAGACTGAAGAGCTTTTCCCTAGCATAGCTATGGGCACCATAATGATTCCTCAGTGACTGCTGGGGCTCAATCACACATAGTGTTCCTTGCTAGGCCAGACCAGTTCCTGGGTAGGTGCCAGATGCAGAAATGTTTTCCCCTTGCCTAGCTCATTCTTACTACACTGCTTCACTACAGAGTGGCCTGAGGGGCTGTTGGGCAGCATCACTGAGGATGCAGATCCACAGGCAAAGCAAGCTCCTGCCCCTGTGAGACAGCACACGTGTGCATGTGTGTTTGTGGGCATGTGCCAGCATTGCTAGCATTGGGATGCTTGTCATTGTTGTCAGGGTCCAGGATGGCAGAGCAGCAAGCCAAGTGAACACCTGCTCACACACGGGTGTGTCTGGGGAGGATGGGCACCCTGCTCACATCAGCAGCCAGCCAGCTGGGAGATGGTCAGTGAGCACCTGCCTGTGCTGCAGCAACAGTGCTTGGGCTGTGCTGCCAAACTACAGGTGGTGATAATGCTTCTGCCACTCACTGAGCACTCAGCCACACAAAGCTTTGGTCCATGCACAGCCTTGAATGCAGAGATCCTCACCAAGAGTTGCCAGAACACTTAGAGATATGCACACATGCATGGGCCTTCTTTCTCCATGTCCAGGAACACTTTGCACTTCCTTCCCCACCTGTGGGCTTGTCTGTGGACTGAGCAGAAGCAGGAGGAAGCAGAGAAAGGGTGAATAACCTCAGCATGGAGTGCACAAAGAATAACATGAGTGAGCCCAGGCCTCTGTGACAAGGCTATCGCTGGTAGCCACATGGCCAAAGCCTCGTTGCTGATCTCACAGGCCAGGAAAGGCTCAGTGCACAAAGTGTGAGCACATGCCACCTTGTCAAGGGGACAGGCCCCTCGGAGGTCAGAGAGCAGCAAAAACAGCTGCTGCTGGGACAGCTTTTCTCCAGTCCCTTTTCTCCACTCCTCTGGCCTGTTCACACAAAGCCAAGACTGCTCCAAAGGAAATGGACTTGCATCATTTTAAAAACACTTACTCTTTCAACACTTATTTCCCATTATTTCTGTATATCTCACAAGATAAAAGTGGAACAAAAAAAACATGGTGCATAGTAGATGAACAGCAATGCCAGCCTGCTCTGCCCTCTGAGCCAGCACTACAGCTTGCGCCACACTCCAGGCAGAGCCATCCTGCTTCCTCCTAGGGCTTGGTACTGACATTCCTGGGCTGCTGCACTGCTCAGCTTTTCCTGGCTAGAAAGGATTTACCACAGCTGGCTTTTTTTTTTTTTTTTTTTTTTTTTTTTTTTTTTTTTTGCTTCATTTTTCTTTGGTATCAGCTTGAGGCTTTTCCCTCCCTCTGGTATCAGTACCACACTGTGCTCCAGATCTGAAGGGAATGGTCTGGAGACAGTGCTGTAAGACACTTTAGCGTCTTCTGTTTGGAGTCTCAAACAGACCAGCCATATTTGCACTGAGCAATCGAGCTGGGCTATTACTGCTGTCTTTTTTTTTTTTTTTTCCCCGCTGAAAATTTTCCATTCCTTAGTTATACCAGGTAGCCCCAATGCAGCCTCAGATAAGCAGCTCTGAAAAGGCCACAGTTTGGCAGGTGGGACAACAGCTAAATGGCAGCTAGTCAAAGGTGAATTTCTGGGCACTGAGGTGCCCTTCTGCTCTTTCGATTTTCGTATTTTTATTCATACCACTGATGCTTATAGCAAGAGCTGTTCAGGCACTGCCCAAGCTTGGCTTGCCTCCTAGTGATGTTAACTCACAGGATCATAGAGTGGTTTGGTTTAGAAGAGACCTTTAAAGATCAGCTACTCCAAATACCATCCTGACCAAGCACTATCCCTTTGGGATTCCATTGCTTTAAATTTTTTTTTCAAAGGCAAAATAGTTGTTAAATAAGGAGAAAGAAATAGCTGTAACACTGAAAAAAATCTGAGCAGACTCTGCACAGTAGCTTGGCAACTCCTTCCCCCACAGTCCTCAAATTTCTTGTCCTCAGCAACATCACCATTTTCATTTCTAATGTTTCCTAGTTAAGAGTGACTTCTTTTTTTCTTTTCTTTTCTTTTTTTTTTTTTTTTTTTTTTCCTCTTTTTACCTTTTTTTCCTGTTTGACCTGGTTCATTTCTGAGGGCAGGAATAATCCTGATCCTTCCAATTAAAAGCTCATTGTTGCCCTTTTTCTGGTTATAATAAGCAATCTCAGTCTCCAGTAACAATTACAGGTTTGTGAGCTTCCATGCCTACACATTTCTGCTCACAGGAACATTTTGCCACTGAAAAGGCTGAGTTGTGTCTCCTGTGGACAGCAGGTCGAGGGAGGTGATTCTGCCCCCCTCCTCTTGTAGAGACTTTGCTCTTGTGAGACCCCACCTGGAACAGTGTCCACCTCTGGGGTTCCAAACACAGGAGTAACATGGACCTGCAAGTAAAAGGTCCAGAGGAGGTCCCAAAGATGCTCAGAGGGCTGGAGCACCTCTCCTGTAAAGACAGGCTGAGAGAGTTGGGGTTGTTCAGCCTGGAGAAGTAAAGGCTCCAGAGAGACTTTACACAATTTCCTGTGCCTAAAGAGAGAATTGGAGCAGGACTTTTCATGAGGGTCTTAGTGATAGGACAAGGGGGAATGGCTTTGAACTCAAAAGAGGGCAGGATTAGATGTAAGGAAGAAACTCTTTCCCTACAAGGGTGGTGAGGCACTGCAACAGATTGCCCAGAGAACTTGTGGATGCCTCATCCCTGGAAATGTTCTAGGTCAGGTTGGATAGGACTTTGAGCAACCATGTCTAATGGAAGTTGTCCCTGTCCAATGCAGGGGGGTGGAACAAAATAATCTTCAAGGTCTCTTTCAACTCAAACCATTCTGTGATTCTATGATAATAGAAAGTTTGTGTTTCTTGACTAAAGGATGACAAGTGCAGCTGCCAAGCCACCAGAAAAGCCAGAAATGCAATTTGTCTCAAAATTGTTACCTGACAGTTGTCTTGATTTTTTATATGAGGCTGTGTGTTGTGCCTGGTGCTGCTGTAATCTGCTTTAAGAGGTTGGTATGTATATACCTGGCAATTCAAAATCTGAGCAGGTCAGAGAGGCAGCAGACTAGGGAAAACCTGTGTTGGAGTGATGTTTTGTTAGGCCTTTCAGGGCTGCTGCCTGCCTGTATCATGACAGCACAGGAAACACGTATTAAGAGAAACAGAATGAAATCAAGGTTTTTAGGCATGAGGGACCAAGTGTGGTCTCCAAGGACGCCTGTGACCTTTTTCAAGTGGGCTGTGCTTACTTTCAAGGTTGCTCATTGGCACTTAGAGATTTAAAATGCATTTAGCACAGCAGAGTCTGAAAATCGCAGCCAGTCCCAGCCAAGGAGAGGTCAGTGTCCCTAGAAAGGGTTTGTTAAGCACTCGGCCTTGTACACACTCAAAGGCATTTGCTGCTAAAGCTGTACTGTCAGGTTCCAGTCCTTGACACAAACGGTGGCGGATTATTGGCAGCATCCGCTGGCTACGGCGGCGCTTTTCCACGTTTCTAGATGACCGGACTGCGCTGGCCAAGCGCCCTGGCGTGGGCCGGGCCTGGTGCTGGTCCAGCCTCAGTCTGCATTCGCTGCCAAACGTTCGCAAAGTATCAAATTCTACTCTGGCTTTGTTTACACACGGAAACTGTAGGAGTATAATTAGCGGGGTTCGTGTGCTCGCTTGGCAGATGCCTGCTGTGTGTCACCGCTCCGCGCCCGAAACTCACCCGCTCGCTGCAGCACCCACGTACCCGGGGTTAGCTTCCACCCCGCGCTGAGCGCCCGCTGGACCGGGATCAGTTTCACCCGGCGACACTGCGGCTCCGGAGGCGGGGAGCGGGCGGGAGACAGGAGGGATGCGGGAAGGAGCCGGGTGGGACGCGGACGGTATGGGGACGGTGCCCCCGCCATCCCTGCGCGGGCTGAGGGTGCCCCGG